GTTTTCGTATTGACACTGAGCATGCTACACAAAGAAAAGGCAACTACACTTCAATCACGTTCTAGTTGAAGAAGGGCTTGTTTCGTTTCTTGAAAATGCTCGTTGAAGTCGCCTTGGAAAATTTCAGATGGATGGGACATATTTTTAATTTGTACCTGTTGCCTTTTTTCTGGGCTCTAGATTCTTGTTTTCAGTGGTATTTTTCAGTCTCGCCGTGCTGATCAATAACTAGTACGCTAGCTAAAGTCAGGATTGCAGGTGTGGATACCAGAACTTGAGATTGTATTTGATGTTGCCATGGCAACTCGTTGCTCGTCGACTAGGATGTTGCCACAGTTACGCTTGGTGTTTTTGCTTATTTGAAAAACAGCTGACTCGCACTCCAGGCAGAGATTTTTTGATTGCATTATTCAGTATAGTATGGTGCCTGCGGCCAAACCTATTCCGTAACTATTGGCCCTAAAGAACAGCATGTAGTAAATAGCTTGTCTGGAATCTTGTGAAGTTCATACTCTGGTTTACCTTCAACCACGAATAAATCTTTCGCCTTTTACTAAAGATTTCCGTGGAGGTGGACATTGAAGGAATCTTCAAATGAATTTTTCTTTAGCCCTTGCTCATTGAGCAGGGCTCTATTAAGTAGACAATCATAGAGGTCTGGCAGGACTTTACGGCTGAATCAAGGCCGAGTGCGTACGGCCAAGGGCGCAGGCCAAGGCGCGTAGCGCCGAGGCCTGCGCCCGCGGCCGTACGCACGAGGCCTTGATGAAGGCGAAAAGTCCTGCCAGACCTCTATGATGGTGTTTCAGGTTTTGTCTTTCGCCTTTCTGGTATAAAAGCAAGACATGTATAGGGGTGGTGGTCGGGTACGTGGTGGATTCAGCTTGTGAGTTTCAGCTCCTTCAGCTTGTGAGTTTCAGCTCCGTCCGCTTCTCATGGATGGGATGATCCTTGGTCCATGACCTTTCGCTTCCTCAAAATCATCAGAAAGGTTCGGCAACTCGTCAACTCCTTTTTTAGTACATGTAGAACAGAAAGGGGAAAACTGATCGCGATGTTTGCCACTTATTTCAGCTTGTTTCTTAGCAGATAGATAGGTGCATGCTCTTTCGCTTATTCACAACTATCGTAAAATGTCTTCTCCACTCACGACAACAAGAAGTTGAGTTGAAAACTGACCACGATGTGTCGACACCGGCTTTTCATGTTGCCGTTTTTGGACAGGCTGTTTTCAGGTACCGTATACCATGTACCAGAGCATGTTCACAGTCGAATGTGAGATGTGAACTGAGCTGACAACGAAAAACTGCCACAGACCCCTGCAGAGCTAGGCTGACAGAGTACGGGGTGCCATTGACGACGGGCTTTATTGCTACCGTATTTTTCCGTATCCATTGACCACGGGCTTTATCGGCTCATCAAGGCCACCGCGGGAACGTCGCTCATTGGCTACAACCATAGAAACGGTACGGTAAAAACCTGAACCAAAAGTAAAGAGAATCCCAAGTGCCTGTCGGGTGAATCGCCTATAACTTTGGTGGCTTGCTTTTTTCAAAGCAAATGTGCATGCTCAAACTCTGACATGAAATCAGCCGACTGTGTTGCAGCCTGTCTATGTACACACGTGGTACACAGCCGTGCTAGACCGTAGTAGACGATTGAGCGGAAATGAGATCTTTTTTACTTGAGCTAACTTTAATACCGAGCGAAAATGCTGAAAAGGATGGTGTCTATTAGCGAACCACTACAGCCAGCATCGACGCTCTCTCCTGTAATGGTGAAAAGCCGTCAGTGATTAGTTGGCTGCCTCTTCACCACGTGAAAACACTAAAATCGGTCGAAAATTATACAACAACCAAATCACGGCAGATTTTTGTGGGAACCTTGTACGACAAATCCGATTACACCAGGTGATTTTCGTGCCGATCTTGACAAGTGTTGTACTCTATATGAGCCCGGATCAGCGAAAACCATCGCTTGTGTTTGATATCAAGTTGATCAAAAAGTGACGTTGAAGTCGAGCGAAAGAAAAGTCGCGGACCTAACAACTACCCATCACCTTTCTGTCTTTCTTGTCACTAGTACTAGTCTTTCTTTCCGCCTGACAAGCCCGTGTTTGTTTGTTTGTCAGTGACTAGCTAGCTAGGCAAGCCCCAGGCAAGTGAGGAGACACGGCTAGGAAACCCCACGTACCTGAGCTTAGCTGGCGAATAGGTACGATCGCGGGGCGCGAGCAATTATGTTAGTGTGATGTAGTGGAGAAGATTGTGTTCATTGCGTCCGTTCTGTTGATCTTCCACCGGCTTTGTGGTGTTGCGAAAGAAGGATCCACGAGCAGAATTCGAACCCAGCACCACTGTCTCTCCGGGACAGTGCCCTACCGATTAGGCTACCGAGGTCACACACACACACACACACACACACACACACACACACACACACACACCCGTGGTTCCTTCTTACGGTGTCTCGTGGTTGCTGCTGACAACAATCTCCATTGACCTCCTCAGTTTGGTCCTGCTTTATGTCTGTGTGATGTATTTTGTTGTCAGCTGAATGCTGGGTTAGTTCGGCCATGTTGTGTTCTTTGTCGCCCTAGCGACCAGTCAACGCCGTTCCAGTGAAGACGTGGTTTAGACTTTCTTGTTTCAGTGTCTTTGGGTGTTGTGTGGTTGTTTCTGTGAGTGTTCTGGGTTAGTATGTTGTGTGTTTGTGTGGAAGAGGTAGTAGAGACACTGTAGTTTGAATTTGTAGAAAGAAAAAGAGCTTGGGAGGTGAAATTTATCGCTTCTCGGCCTTTTGGCTAAGATCAAGTGTAGTATCTGTTCTTATCAGTTTGATCGCTGATATGTTGACTATATGTCAACATTCGATCAAATGTATTTTTGCTCGTTGGAGAGTGGCTCGAAGCTTGCTTCACCCTCTCCACGGATCACCCTGGTATTGCAGTTCTTCCAGGTGTGGTCCATTTCCCTTCCAGGGATTATAATAAACCAAAGAAAAATAGTCTTCAGTTGCATTTTTTCTTCAGTTGGTTGTTTTGCGTTTGAACAACTTTTGACAAAAAAAAGATCAACAGCAAAAATAAGTTTCGTTGCAATCACCGTACTGTCATGCAGCAGTGTACGACACCTGCATACTGTCGTACACTGAGCGTGTGGGCATGTCTGACTTATTTCCCGTGCTCTGAGAAACTAAGTACTTGACTTTCCCACTTTTGCGCAAGCTCTGTATCGACAAATTTCTTTTGCCTTTTCCGTTGTTGCCTGATCCGTCGAACGCTGCGAAACGTCGTCACGTGCAAACTCTCTAATACCAACCCACAACACTGCTACTGTGGACACAGCATGCACAGTGACAATTGATAGAGCTTCAACAGGCGCGTAGCACCGCCAACGGCGGTGGTCCGGCCAGGGGGGGGGGGGAGTCCGGGGGGATGTCCCCCGCAGAATTTATTTGAAATTAAGGTGCAAAATCCGGCATTCTGGGCACTTTTGGCAATGTTTTACTATGGTGGTCGTGGTCGGGCAAAAAAGTGGTCCGGCCAAAGCCGGACCGGCCGGAGCGGCGGCTACGCCCCTGTTCAACGACGAGTGATCATCCAGAGAGCAGCCTCTCTTGTGCACCGTGACCACTGCACTGGCATGCAAAGCTGCAGGAATGTTCCAACTCAAGCGACATGTTTTGAATAGTGCTGTCAACAGTAACTCATTTTCGGTCAAACGCCTGCTCCCGGCAGACTGTCAGGCTGCAGCAAACAACTGCTCTCTAAGACCACTATCCTCTGTGTAGAATGTGCAATGGTCGCCAATGACTTCAGGGACTGCAATAGAATGGTCTCACAACTTTATCATGTGACTTTTAAAAAGTGTGTGTAGAAACTAGAAAGTGATCATGCTGTGTAGACAGTGGGTGCAAGATGGACAACATCACGTGACCCATACTGGGAGATTCATAGATGCCTGATACCATGGTGACCATTTCACATTCTCCACACAGGATAGTGGTCTTGGAGAGCAGTTGTTTGCTGCAGCCGGACAGTCTGCCGGGAGCAGGCTTTTGACACAAAGTGTGAGTCCGGGGTTGACTGGGGAACCAACATGGCTGTTCCGGGTCGTCATGTGATAGATATGCAATAGCTCTATACATCGGTCCTGTCATCATGATGGGGGATTGCCGAGAACTGGTACCAACTGCAGTAGTACAACTCGTAGTAGCCAATTTGGCATACCCTGATCACGTATCATAGTAGAGATGGCAAACTAGTGAAACTATGCTGTAAACTTCCAATGGACCAAGGTGTTCATTAGTTGAAGCGAGTTACACCATTCTGCCGACGTTATCTTTCTACTTGGTACCTGGGATGATTTTGCCACATGACAACAGGGTATTCCCCTGTGGGAATGGTGTTGCTATGGTGACATGGCGTATGGGTACTCGCACGGGATGTCGTGGCGTATTATACTCGTTCTGGTACCCTTCTGGGTAGTTGTACGGCCTAATCTTGTAGTATAGTGACACCATGCTATGAAAGTGTGAATGTAGACACTAGAGAAGGATTTCAGACAAAGGAAAAGAGCATGGGAGGTGAAGGTTATCGCTTCTCGGCCTTTTGGCTAAGATCAAGTGTAGTATCTGTTCTTATCAGTTTGATCGCTGATATGTTGGCTATATGTCAACATTTGATCAAATGTATTTTTGCTCGTTGGAGAGTGGCTCGAAGCTTGCTTCACCCTCTCCACGGATCACCCTGGTATTGCAGTTCTTCCAGGTGTGGTCCATTTCCCTTCCAGGGATTATAATGAAATCAAGAAAATAATATGTTCTCTGGAGTGTTTTTATAATAATATGCTGGACCAATAAATTGCTTGCACACTTTTCATACTCGTACCTCGAATCATTTCTTTCGCGACAGTAGGAGGGTATTCTTGATTTACACACTCATGGTGCATATGCTCTTGTTCAAATCAATTAAATTTTGTTCTTGTTTCCCTATGCAGGATGTCAGCGAGATGTTGTGCCTGCGCTACCCGAGACTGTACATTCCGGGCCAGCAGAACCTGCTCTTCAACCGGACGGTGTTCTTTCGCAGTCTGTTCCGCGGCATCTTTGTATCCACGGTGGTGTACTTCGTGACGCACCTGTCGTTTGAGGAGGCCGTCGAGGCAGACGGCAAGCAGGCCGACTCGCTCTACGTGTTTGGAACGGCCGCGTCCGGTCTTCTCGTCATGGTTGTCAACGTACAGGTAAGAGTAGGATTCTCAACATTGCTACTGGCGTCATGTACCGTAGTGACGCGCATATAAGAGCATGTGCCTATGTCCGGGCATAAGCGCACCCTCACAAATAAGCGCATGGGCTTATAAGTGAACCTAAATGCAGTACATCCCGCGACAAACAGACACCACAAAAACACCATATTCACATAGTTCAATGTGCATTGCGGTATTGCACTATGTGCATAATTATGCATGGTACCGGTACACTAGCAACTCAAGCGCATGCGCCTATGTGCGAGACAAAACGACCCGCAAAAAATAGCAAATAGCGCAAAAACTCACTCATAAGCGTATGGGCCTTTATGTGAGTCACTACGGTATATGTATTGCTTGAGAACGGATTTATTCACAACACCAATTGGGCTAATCACGTGAAACCAGGAAGTAAGAACCTAAGCTAAAAAACCCAAAGCTACTGGTGTGTGTTGCTGCTAGCAGAGCTGTTTGCATCTCAGGCGCGTAGTACCGCTGTTGGCTGTTGGCGGTCAAGGGGGGGGGGGGGCTCCAGGGGATGGCCCCCCGGAATATTTTTGAAATTAGGGTGCAAAATCCTAAATTCTGGGCACTTTTGGCATTGTTTTACTATGGTGGTTGTGGTCGGGCGAAAAAGTGGTCCGGCCAAAGCCGGACCGGCCGGAGCGGGTGCTACGCCCCTGCATCTCAACCAATACTTGCACTCACACTCAACTACATGACTTTGTACATACGCATGGCTGAGTCTGGTGCACACACTGGATGTACTGGTACGCATGCACGCATGCACACGGAACCCTACATACACTTTTTGAAGTCCATGCACATTCTGTACTATGCTCACTTGTGCATGCATATACCGTTACACTCACGGACAATGCGCCCGCACACATACACACATACACACACACACACACACACACACACACACACACACACACACACACACACACACCGCCTCTCTCTCAGTCTCGTGCACGCACTCATTCTCTGTCTCTGTCTGTCTGTCTGTCTGTCTGTCTCTCTCTCTCTCTCTCTGTCTTTCTGTCCACCAGGTATCGTTGGATACATACCACTGGACAGGACTGAACTTCTGTGTGATAGCCCTGAGTGTACTCGTGTGGTTTACCTTCGTCGCCGTACTCTACGCTCCCAGTGGCGCTTACTCACTGTTCCCCACGCTGCTCTACGACATAGCCGTGCACACGCACCTGCTACCGTCCGCTCAGTTCTGGCTGTCGCTGCTGCTCGGTGTTGCAATGTGCTTTCTGCCCGTCCTGGGTCATCGGCTGTACTCGTTCCTGGTGAGTGTAGTGCAGCATGCTTGCTCCAATGGTTCTGTGTTCAATGGTTGAGTGTTCAATGGTTGTGTATTTGATGGTTCTGTGTTCACTGGTTGAGTGTTCACTGGTTGTGTGTTCAATGGTTCTGTGTTCAATGGTTGTGTGTGTTCAATGGTTGTGTGTTCAATGGTTGTGTGTTCACTGGTTGTGTGTTCACTGGTTGTGTGTTCAATGGTTGTGTGTTCAATGGTTCTGTGTTCAATGGTTGAATCCACACAGCAAATGGGCTGTGGATGAGGTGTTGTGCAGTGCTGCAAGGCAGCGTTGTGGTGTCGTGCTGCTTTTCAAATAGTGCTGTTGTACCAGCCAGGGCTTCACCAACATTATTGTATTGTTTTCCTACTCTGTCCCTGGAAATGTTTGTCTGGGAAAAAAAGGGAATACACCATCCAGTACACAACACAATGCACTTGCAATTGGACACGAAGCAAAGTTGTGGCTCATCACAGAACGATTCCTATTTCATAATCTGTTGTGCTGTCGTTGTGTGTGTGTGTGTATGTGTGTGTGTGTGTGTGTGTGTGTGTGTGTGTGTGTGTGTGTGTGTGTGTGTGTGTGTGTGTGTGTGTGTGTGTGTGTGTGTGCGCGCGCGTGTCCCATGCTGTACACAGGTGCACCCGTTCCTCGTGGACTTGCTGCGCGCTGGCTACGAGCCGCCGGAAGAGAAGGACGACGTGAAGGTGCCCAAGGTGGTCATATCCGACACGTCATCCACCACAGCACGGGATATGACATCGCCGTCACCCTCCATCAAGCGTCACCGTCGCCTGGCCAGCATCGGGTCCACCGCGTCCACGGTCACCACGGGTTACGCCTTCTCGCACGCCTACGGCTTCGGCGAGCTGATCACGTCGGGCCGCGCGTTCCTGGGCAGCCTGGTGACGCCGCTACTGAACCGCACACGCAGCCACAACAGCGGCGGCGGCGGGTCCTCCGGCGACCTGCGTAACCACGGCAACGTGGCAGTGGCGAGCACCTCTGGGGCCATGCTGATACAGGCCAGTCAGGCGGCCATCTCCATAGGTGCTCCGCCGGCAACGGCCGCCGAGCAATCGCCCACGGCAACGCACATCGGCAGCCAGCGCCCCAGCTCCAACCTGGTCGCCCCCGGCAACAGTGGCGAGTCGACACCGCCGACTACGCGTGTCATTCAGCTGGAAGCATCGCTGTGAGTCTACTTTGTAATGTGGAGCGGTCAGCCGCCGCAGCTCCTGCCTGGTGGTCGCCGCTCCAACAGTGGTGAGTCGACACCACCAACCAGACATGAGGCTCATTTGGAAGCATCGCTGTGAGTCTTTGTCGTAATGTGGAGCTGCAAGAATTGCCGAACATTCTGCCAGACCGAGTGACTTTCTACGTTGGTCGTGCATAAAGTGTGACTTGTGTTGTGCAGTGGCGATCACCGGGCATATATCCAACCGCCTGAACCAGATGTGCTGCTCCAGCTTCTACTGGTGATAGTCATCATCATCATCATCATGACAGCCGGCCCCTGCAGGTGACTTGGCTAGCTGGCTTTCGCCGCTCAAGCTCTTATTGGGGAGTCGTATAAATGGTTTCCCAGCGATCGAATTTCTGCATCTCGCCGAGTGTATTACACCACTACCACCGTCATCCCAGTGGAGACTATAATACATACGAGCCTGACTCCCACGCTCTAGAAGTTGCAAGCAGATTATCCATGGCGAAGCGAACCAGAAAACAGACATATAAATTACTTCGAAGTATAACCTGCTTTATTTAAAAAAAATTAATGTTCTTATCTTTGAGTACGTATCCCGAGTATTCAGAATTCCAGATTGACCCAACACTAATGTAACAACCTTTTGACTACGATGAAAGTTTTCCCGTACTATTTCCACTTGACCGTAATAATAACTTATGGTGGCTACAAAGAAACTTGATGTGGATGTAAACTATGACATAGCTTGAACAATCATTTGCGCCGAGAGAGCCCTGCACGTCTATGTACTAAACCATGACTCTAGTATTCTGACCGTGAAATCCCACCGTGACATCTGGGATCTAGTACTTGAAGTAAATAGTTCTATAATATAATTTTACTGTGTTCCGTATCGCAAGACTAAAATCATGAGATTCTTTTTTCTTTTATAAATATTTTGCATACTTGCTGGCACTATTTTAAAGTATTTTTCCCATCCATGCAAAACTCCATGTTCTACTGAAGCTGGGCACTATTATACAATGCCATGTTCTGAATCAGACCTTCAACTTTGCGAGTGATGTCATTTGCCATTATTTTTTCAAGAGTCGAGAAAGTTTTCGAATTGTGCGTGATCTCCAACACAACCACTTTACCGTTATATGTACTGAGTATAACGGCTTCTCCACCTCCCAAGCAGTCTCTGCACTGCAAACCCTCTTGTTCACCATGCGGCCCCGATGATAGCCTGGGTTGGGCCCAAAAATTGGCGCCGTTAAGTCGGCTATTCGCAGTGTAGGAGATAGAGAAGTCAAACAGTAAAGTTGTAGATCAAGAAAGTTCGAGAATTCCCTCTCGGCCCGGCAAGACTGAAGATTTCTTGATTATGTTTTATCGTCAGTCTCTGTGTGGCACCACACCATCATGCATCACTGGACGTGGAACAAAGATTTACGTGACGCAGCTACACAAATCTGTTGGAGACGACATTCCAGACTGACAGTAGTAGAGCCTACTACTACTAGAGGTACACAAATGCCTCAGCCGCCTGTATTTATAGTGTATAGCTGGTGAAGCAAAATTTTGTAGAATTTAAAAACAAAAGTGCGAAAGTGAATCCATCACAATCCTGGTATTTTCCACACCCTGAATGGCCATAGCTATAGCTGTAGATTATTGCTCTAAAATTATTTACCTGCATTGGCGAGTGAAGTGGCTGATTACTTACTCGATCGGAGGACACGTAGCTAAACGCACTCTCTCAAGCCAAGGCTATCAATCCGATCGAGTATCGCACATCATCCTAATTGTAAATCCAGAACACTGCACCTACTGGCTCAAAATTAACTTATTCACTACTTGTAATTCAGATCATCATGTCACCTCAGTCCTGAATCCTCCTGATGGCATGGCAGGGAAATCTTTCGCAGTCCCCGCAAGTCCGATGTAGCAGGAATGGTGGTCTGCCAACTAATACTTGCCAAGCGGCCCGGATTCTTTGACGTTCTAGATTCTTATGATATCTGTGTTGTTCGTGGTTACCTCCTGTTTATGTGCTTGGCCTCCCAAATCAAACAACCAGCGCAGTGCAGTACACGTGGACATACACACTTTCCAGGCTTTTTGTGGTTTGTCGGGTACGAGTCGCGCGCGACCGGTCGACCTCTCTGCACTGTGGAATTTTAATTTGGAAATTTTGTTTTCGCGGCTTGCTTGAAGTGACCATTATTTTTTGTGCAATGCCTGCGAATAGCGATACAGCTACAGTTTTCTGGGCTGTTCCTGACGATGGGAGATGCGCATTTTGCCAGTGCAATGGAGATGGTGAATCCGGCTCTGCTCGTCAGTTGAAAATCCTCAAATGTCTGCACCTGTCATGCAAATCCTGTGCTGAGCAATTTCTGAGCTACGACAACACTATTCGCTGTGCTCGATGTCAAACAGTCACACCTCGCCCTGGCCCAGGTCGTAAACTCACTGAATGCCTCGTCAGCTGGCCGACTCAACAATCAACTGCCAGTCCACACCAGGAGGAGGTGGAAGATGGGTCAGAACGAAGCGATTCGCAGCCGAGCGACGAGGCATTGTTTTGCCAGAATTCGGACTGTGAGGATGTTGACGAACCGGCTGAAAAGCGCTGCCTGACTTGCGACCTCCTCCTGTGTAGCTTACACTCGATAGCACACAGGCGCAGGAAGGATCGTCACGACCATGAACTGGCTACCGTTTCGTCGAAACGCAGCTCTCTGTGTCCGCTGCATACGGAGCACCAAACATCCTACTGTAAATCTTGCAATTTGTTGATGTGTGATAGATGCTGCGAGCAGCACACGCTACATAGTGATCATGATGTCGTGGAGATAGGCACAGCTGCCGAAGGTCTGAGACAAACTGATCAGAGAGCAACATGGAAACGTGAAATGGTTTGCTTGTCAGAGGGGATCAAGGAAGTCAAAGGTCGCATTCAGTCCGTCAACTCCGAGACTGAGAACATATCTGCCAAGATCAATGCTGACGTGGCGGCTGCTGTGAAGATCATCGAGGGAAGAGGTGAAGAGCTACGCCGTGACTTAGACCGAGCACGTTGGAGCGTTGTCAAGCAATTGGAAGAGATCCAGGGTTACAGAGAAGATGAGTTTCGCCGATACAACGCTGCCCTTCACCTGAGCAAACAACTTGATGACATTGATGCATTACAGGTTCTCTCCAACTTCGGCAGCAGCAGCACCGGTGATACAGACGAGGACAAGTGCGATGAGGTGCAAGAGGGAAAGAAATCCAGTGACAAGAAACCCAGAGATGTCGCAGACTACAAGCTGGGCTTCAAGTTTGAACCCGAACTGCAACGAGGCGCCAAGCTTCTAAAATGGTCCTCGCTGCACCAAGCAACGTCTGCCAGTGACAAGGACGGTGGAGTGAATTTGTCCGCTTGCCAAGTCATCAGCTTTAATACTGGCGCCAAATCAAAGTCTGTTGCCCTTTCCAACGCGGGTCAAGTGGCTACCCGGGATCAAGCCGCAGAGGGCAAGTGGTACACGGTCACAGCGAGGCCACCCCCAGTCATGCTCCACGTGGAAATCACCGCCGGTGAGCCTTTCCTGGGCTTTGTGAACACCAGCACGTCCATTGCCCACACCGGGAGCTGGCAGCACCCCAAGGTGTTCAACGGATGGGCACCGACGGTCGAGTCCATACCGCTGACCACTGGTGGTGCGTTGGGTCAGCCGTGGAGGAAAGGTGACATCATTCATCTAACACTGGACCACACAACGCTCACCGCAACTGCCCTGCATGAGCGTACCGGAGCAACAGAGACGATCAGCATTGACAAAAGTGTCTTCCCGGTTTACTTTCGTGCCGAGCTACACGGCAAATCGTCCATTCGCCTACTTCCCAAGCTGGCGTAGTCTTTCCGCAACACAGAGAGAGAGAGAGAGAGAGAGAGAGAGAGAGAGAGAGAGAGTGTGTGTGGGTGGGTGTGCGTGCATGTGTGGGTGTGCGTGTGCGTGTGTGTACCAGCATGTAGCCCATCATGATATCATCTTCACCGTTGCCACTTTTTCCTCGCAGTGACAAAACCCATATTTTGGTTTTTGGTAGATCAACCTCTTACACAGACTACTCATTGATGGCTTGCATACAGTGCTATTGCTTCTTTTACCAGGCGGAGTGGGTCATGGTCAGAAACTTTAATTTGTGGAACGGTTTTGTTCCCCAGGCCCAGTCGTTTTCTATGTATAATATTTGTTTTTTACTTCGATTTAAAGTATTTAAATAACCGATTGTTTATACATGGTTATGAGTGCACAATTGATATTTTTCATTGCTATTTTACTTCGAAGTGACTTTTTACTTTCCCTTCTTGTTACCTCCCACTCTGACCGGTGAATGTATGCCATTGATCTCTGTCCGGACGAAGTTTTCAGAAACAGCTTTTGTTACGTCTTGTGTACTCTTCGTGTGCAGCAAGCTACTTTCGCCGTCATGACAGTCTCGGATCAGGATGACCAACTTGATCAGAGCGTACATGTAGCTTGATGATGGAGTATTCCTGCACCACTGGCTCGTGACAGTTCTGAAGCCCAGCTCAGTATAACTTGGATATCAAATCATTAGAGATACTTGACAAGCACCTGTTTCTTGTGACGTCGCAAGAAGATGTGCTAAGTTTACATCCGTGGCAGTGGTGATTGGTCTTTTTTAACTGTTAGTATTCAAAACGCACCATGCAGAATGTAAGAAGGCCGGTAAAAGCCGGGGTAAAACAGGTCATCTTTCCCTCAAACCGATGAAAAGAGGTTTTAGTCAATTCTGACCATCTGAGGCAAGCTGTGTCAGAGAGTCAGACCACCTGTTTCAAGTTTCAATGAGCTCGAGCGATGCACTTCTCGTTTCCCCTTCGTTCCTCGTCCCCGTTTTGCCGAGCCGCAACAAGATGATACATGTCGTGATAGCAGGGGTACATAACAATCGGTCATGGTTATGTGCTCTTGGTGATATGTATCACTACTATCAGAAATAACCAGCATTGCCGGGCACTTGGAATCCATTGCAGCAAGAGTCCATAACCCCCCCCCTTATGAACTCTTGATTGCAGGCATCGACCCTGGAGGACTCATGATGCCACAAAGCCAATTGAGAAATGAAGATGACGACGACGTTGCAAATTTCAGAAAAAATTTTTACCTACGGTTTCACGCAGGGAGTTGCACGACTCCCTGGTTTCACGCCACATTCGACGCAAATTTCTCGCAGTTTGCACTTCGAAATCTGATAAATCCTCCCAAATTGTGACGTCACGCGAGATTTCATATTTTTCGTCAAGCAGCACTGCACTGACTTTTGCTGACCCTGGTTCGCTTTGATTTTGACTGAGCTTGATTGGCATTGAACATCTCACTGATCAAAGACCAAAGTTATTGCTGCTTGCTTCCTTCCATAGCAATGGGCTACTAATTAGTCTTCTTTATCTAATATTACCGTGGGATAAACATGTTGAGTCTCTTTGGTCGCCCTTCGCAGCTGCTTCTACGAGGTAAGCTTCTTAGGTGGATTCGAAAATTCCCCAAAAAGCAACATTTCATCGATCGCAATATTGATACGATTCTGCACTGGCATTGGTGAATTGCTAGATTCTCTAATTCATCCTACAGATGACGGGTCAGCTGAGTATTGGGATAACGGGGTCGTTCTTCTGCATTGTAAAGTGACTGCAATGACGCGATGGGCTCGATGCGTGTTGAAGAATTTCGAAACTCGAATCTTGCCAATTCTTCATTCTCAATGTGCACTGTAGACAGTACTAGTATAATCCTGTGAGAATAGCTCAGTTCTACTGCAAAGTATTGCACACACTGCACACACTGCGGAGTATCGCACACGCAGCACAGTTTACTGCCTACGGTGTTCTGGAAAATTTTCCAGAGTATCAAGGTGCATTTATTTATTTATTTTATTTTACATCGAAGTCCAGAAATGGATCAATAGCCGCAGCAAAACAGACTTCAGAAACATAGTGACATACTCGTCTGTTTTATAATTTGTGTGATGCACTTATGCAGAATTGAGATTTCACAAAGTTGGAGAGGGGCGATATCAAGAGTAGATAAACAAGAGTGTGCAACTCGCGGATGGGTAGGCCCACGGCGGAATTTTTTGTTGACGTAATCTTTTCGACGACGCACGCGCTGCGAGTCTTTCGGAAAGTTTTCCCTCGTGCTCTTGGCCGGGCTTTACACTACAAGGTCGGTGCCCAGCACGTGCTCTCACACTGCTCTGCGGCAACATGCGCGTTTCTCTGAAAAAAGGTGACGTCAACAAAAAATTCCGCCGTGGGCGGCGGTATCTGCAGATTGTGCAGGAGAGATCGGAGTTGCACACTCTTGTTTATCTACTCTTGGCGATATCCATCTCCCTAACATTACATGCTTGCGATCTGTGCCGTGTCGGTTGTGTTTGTCCCTGCTCTCTCTCTCTCTCTCTCTCTCTCTCTCTCTCTCTCTCTCTCTCTCTCTCTCTCTCTCTCTCTCTCTCTCTCTCTCACACACACACACACACACACACACACACACACACACACACACACACACACACACACACACACACACACACATACACTCTCTCTCTCTCTCTCTTTCTCTCTCTCAATCGCACAGCATGCACAGCCACCAGCGGTGCCCCATCATGCCCTGCCCCGCTCACTGCCGCTTGCATTCCCAGTGCAACCAGCAGTGCTACCGTCATACAAGTGCGAACGGTTAAACGGCAAAGGACTACTCCCAAATTGCCGATCCCCCTTGGCCGGCTGGCTTATCAAAAGGAACATTTCATGACTCCGGAGGACCGGACGCAGCTTGATGGCGAGCTCAGCGAGGTGTCCGTTTTCGACGGGCAGAAAGGTATGTGCCTCGGTTTGTATGTGCCTCGGTTTGTATGTGCCTCGGTTTGTATGTGCCTCGGTTTGTATGTGCCTCGGTTTGTATGTGCCTCGGTTTGTATGTGCCTCGGTTTGTATGTGCCTCGGTTTGTATGTGCCTCGGTTTGTATGTGCCTCGGTTTGTATGTGCCTCGGTTTGTATGTGCCTCGGTTTGTATGTGCCTCGGTTTGTATGTGCCTCGGTTTGTATGTGCCTCGGTTTGTATGTGCCTCGGTTTGTATGTGCCTCGGTTTGTATGTGCCTCGGTTTGTATGTGCCTCGGTTTGTATGTGCCTCGGTTTGTATGTGCCTCGGTTTGTATGTGCCTCGGTTTGTATGTGCCTCGGTTTGTATGTGCCTCGGTTTGTATGTGCCTCGGTTTGTATGTGCCTCGGTTTGTATGTGCCTCGGTTTGTATGTGCCTCGGTTTGTATGTGCCTCGGTTTGTATGTGCCTCGGTTTGTATGTGCCTCGGTTTGTATGTGCCTCGGTTTGTATGTGCCTCGGTTTGTATGTGCCTCGGTTTGTATGTGCCTCGGTTTGTATGTGGACGTGCATGTACACACATACTGTAAAAGCTGGAGGGGGGGGGGGGGGGGGATGCATCCTTTCAGACTTTACTGTGGCATGTTATGCTTGCGTTTCCGCTGTCGCCGACGCATTGCCGGGGTCCGTGGAGTGTCCCCCGGGGGAGAAAAATATCGGATTTTTCGGCCAACAGGGCACGTTTTAGCGCTCTACAGGCCCTCTAGGCGGACCATCATGGACGAAAAGTGGTCGTACCGTGTGTGACGCCCCTGGTATATGTACAGTCTACTTTGCATATAACGATACTCGGCCGGGCATCAGAAAAGTGTCCTTATTCGCGAAGTGTCGTTGTACCCGAAGTCTCATTATATGTATACAGGGAGTATGGACTTTGCTCTGGGCATGGAAATTCTGTCGTTATTCGCGAATTGTCGTTATATCCGCAGTCGTTATTAGCGAAGTTGACTGTATGCATGGTGTCACTATGTTTCACAAGTTTTTTTACTGTGCTTTTCTGTTTGCTTTTAGGGGTCCTGTACAAGTCGATTGTTGATGAGCTCGCAGCGGAGCATATTCGATACATTCCCCGCATCGCCCCCATTGCCGTCTCCTATGTAAGTGGTCTCTGTGCGCGCGCGTGTGTGTGTGGTGTGTGTGTGTGTGTGTTTCAGTGTGTGTGTGTCTGTGCGTGTGTGCGTGTTCATCTTAATGCAGACTTGCATGTGCCAGGCAATCATACTCTTTGTTTCTGTGTTCTATGCTCCTGTGCAGCTGTACAGTGTCTGCCAGAATACTGATGAACTGGCCGCGGTGATGATGTTGCATAAAAGGTAGGCTTGGCTTCTGATCTCGCGCTTCATAGGTCGCAGTTGTGTGGAAATGTGCGGGCGCCATTATTGTTTCGTTCTCCGGTCCTGTGCGAGGCTGATTCCCAGCATACGAACTACTAGTACTGTTTCTGCTGTACTGTTTCAGTGTGACTCATGTCGAATGCAGGCCTTCCAAAACAGCTCGGCTAACAGTTAGCCTGCATGCTGATCAGTACTTGGTGTTCGCATGTACTTCTTGAAGTGGTCAGGTCTGATTTGGCAAGGGGGATTGACCGGAGATCTTCGACGTTGATCCTGGGGCGCTGTACAAGTTTGGGTGCGCATGTGTGTGTGTGCGTGTGCGTGCTTGTGTGTGCACATGTGTGTGTGTGTGTGTGTGTGTGTGTGTGTATGTGTGTGTGTGTCTGTCTTCGTGTGCGTGTCTTCGTGTGCGTTTGTGTATGTGTTTAATACTCAGATACCGCTCGTCATCGTCGGACCTCGGCGGTGGTTCTCACTCCATTAGTCACAATGCCGTCATCGCGTGTCTTCGTCTCGGCCAGCTGGACACCGCACTCGATCTTCTTATGAACAAGGTAAAGAAAGAATTCCTAGTTGTAGTTGTAGACCACCGTAATGGCGCGTATAAATTAAAGCATAACTCGAATAGAAGCCGATTATTCGAAGCGCGCCGTGACACAGAAGCACGGTTTTATACAGGGCATTGCGGTAGTTTTAGGTTTAGTAGTTTGTGACTCTATGATCCGATGGGTTTAGTCAAGAGGTTGCGCGCAACAAAAAACTGGAAGATTTTGCCATAATAGTCCTGAGTAACGAAAGTCGTACGAACTTTCTTTCGTCGGCCTTCAGCGGACAAAGAGCTCAACAACCGAAATGTGTTCCGTTGCAATCAATGTACTGTCATGCAGTCATGCACGACACCTGCGTACTGTCTAGACTTATTTCCCATACTCAAAACTTGACGTTCCCACGTTTGCTGGTGCACACGTGTGTGTGTGTGTGTGTGTGTGTGTGTGTGTGTGTGTGTGTGTGTGTGTGTGTGTGTGTGTGTGTGTGTGTGTGTGTGTGTGTGTGTGTGTGTGTGCACATGTGCTCTATATCCACATCCTTTGTTTCCGTGTTCAGTATGAATACTCTGTGTGGCCCCCAGCGGCTACATACACTCAGCTACTGGACTATGCTCTGGCCAAGTATCAGGAAAATCCAGGTACGTAGGGTGTGCGTGTGTGCATGTACTTTGTGGCTCAATGAGCAATATGTGCCCTCTATGCTAAAGTGTGTATGTGTGCGCGTGTGTGTGTGTGTGTGTGTGTGTGTGTGCGTGCGCGCGCTTTCTTGCTTGCTTATACATGTGTTTGTACAGTCCCAGCATTATTTAAAATTTGTTTGTATTATGTTTGAACACTGTTGTGTATGTGCAGATCTACTAACAGAGGTGTACGAGGCTGCGTTCACTGTGATGCGCGACGGCGTGGACCTAACCCCGACCCTTGCCTCTCTCTGTGTCACCGCGCTCAGCATTCATGTACGTTTTACTGTGATCCTCTTCCTGCTGCATTATTTTCCTGCTGCTGCTGCTGTTGCTGCTGCTGCTGTTATTGCTGTTGTTGCTCTTGCTGTTGCTGCTGTTGTTACTGCTACACTCACTGGTTTAACTTTGCAGTCTCCAACGAGAGCATTGGTGAAGATAGTTCATGCATGTCACATGCTGACTTTGAAGTAGTAAACTTGTGATGCTCATTGCTGGCATTAAATTTTGTGATCTCACGGATGATCTCAATAATGTTTACTTGAACACAGGCATTTGTACGTACACTCCCCCCCCCCCACACACACACGCATACATACATACATACATACATACATACATACACACGCACACGAACACGCAAACACACACACGCGCGCACACACACACATGCACACATGCACACATGAACTCACACAAATGTGTTCCATTACTTTTCTGAGCTATCTTTATTCGCAGTTTAGGCAACGTATGTGTGCACATGCATGCTTGTACGTTTGTGCGGGTGGGGTGTGCGTGCCACGTCTGTATTGTGCGCAGGATCCGAATGATGCCGGCTCTGAGGATGAGGTAACTGATCCACCAGTGCCCTACACCCAGGCTAATGTACCTGGTTGGACTGAAAAAGAGTACAAAGACTCCAGAGACTTGCCGCACTGGGCCAACCAACTAGAGGTGAGTGAGTCAGAGTCAGGGGTTTTGGTTTTTTTTTACACAATACGCTGCATCTGCACCTTGATCCTCGAGGGTGGTGATGTTCACACCCATGCGGAAAAGTCCGTCTAGCCAAGTCTCACGCGAATTTTGCAATGTTTTACACGATACCCACCAACAGTGGTGGTCACAATCTTCTTTAGCTCAGAATTGCAAAAGAAAAAAGTCTGATGTTTTCTAATTATATGCAACGGCATCTGAGTCTTTTGCTTCTGTCAATGGCCGTATTTTTGTGCAGGGTCCATTGCTGGGCTTTCCTTGCTGTGTGTGTGGTGTTGGTGTGGATGGGTGCAAGCATGTGTGGGTGTGGGTGTGGACACGCGTGCGTGTGCACATGTGTGTATGTGTGTGCGTGGCACTGCGTGCACATGTTTATATGCATGAGCTTATTCATTAGTTTGTTCGGCCTGTGCCTGTAACTGTTTCAGACACGGCATGAACGCCTGGCGGCAGCCAGACATCTAGTCAAGCAGCAGCATGAAGCTGGTCACAGGATACTGCCCGTTGCCTATAGCTATCTAGTGTCTACGCTGGGAAAGCTGGTGAGTGGAACTGCAACAATGGGTATCCATGAGCTCCCCTGCGTACTTAGAACACCGATTGTGGAAGGTGTCTAGGCATTGGCTGACAACAATGATACCAGTGGCGTGGAGTATTGAGTTATTGAATGGGCCTTTTCGTCATCACTTTTTTAAACTCTCAATGCCTGCAAATTGATAATTCCTTTGCAACCTTCAGGCAATGCTGTTCTGTCCTTTGTGCCCTCGTTTCTGCTACGTATAGAAACGAGGCTCAACGTGTTAGCAATGGAAAACCTGTTTGATGAGTCACCTTGTAACCAATGGGAAACCTGTTTGATGAGTCACCGGTCAAGCCGCTGTTGTGTGCCTGTGTTTCTGTTACTGTGTGTGTTTATGCGTTCCTCTCTGCTCAGGGCCAGCATGAGAAGCTCTTGGATGTGTTGACCATGGCCGTGGAGGATGGTGCACTGACATCTCAGGTATGCTGGCATGTTGGTGTGTTGAGGGCGAGAGTGAACCCCCCCCCCCCTGCATTGATTTATGTTGGTGTGTTGAGGACAAGAGTGAATCCCCCCCCTGCATTGATTTACGCTGGCGTGTTGGTGTGTTGAGGGTGAGAGTGCATCACCCTGCATTGATTTAAGAGTATTATACTCCGCTTTGGGGCACCTCCAACACCCCCATTGTTCAGTGTTACATCGTGTGTGGGTGTTGGTCGACTGGTCAAGCACCCCTGGCCCTAGCCGGCTGTCATTGACAATGTGTGTGTGTGCGTGTGTGTATGTGTGTGTGTATGTGTGTGTGTGTGTGTGTGTGTGTGTGTGTGTGTGTGTGTGTGTGTGTGCATGTGTGTGTGTGTGTGCATGTATGTATTTTGATGCGTCTTTATGTGCAGCTGGAAGGGCTCAAGGAGCAGCTAACACAAGCTGCCAGTCGGGAAGACATGGTAGAACTCCTCAAGAAGGTATGAGTTGCTCGTCTCTGCCTGTGGGTGTGAGTGGGTGTGCGTGCGTGTGTCTGTGTGTGTGTGTGGGGGGGGGGGGGTTGTACATGTGCCAGTGTACCTGTCTGTCTGTCCTGCCGGTATCTGCTACACATGAACGTAGGGTGCTAAGCGAAATCATCATTTTGTATCGGGGAAATTCGGAAAACTCAGTCGGCATCTCGGTCAGTCAGGCTGACTGGCGGACCGGGGCGAAGGCCGCGGATGATGCATTTGATTTTGCAGCTAAGCAGATATTGTAAAACTGTGCCAAGCAGGCTGAAGTCCTGCCGAGAACTAGTAGATGATATGATTTATTTTTTAATTTTAATTTTTCAATGTCGAGCACCGAAATAGTAATAATCAATTAGTTGTAATGATCTATTACTTGATAAACCAATAAAATCGTCTCAGTCGTACTGTAGTAATACGGTATCATTAGACACCCTTAGCAAACAACGTTAGCGCTATTTTTTTACGGTACGTGTGCCTTGATCACCCAAATAGCGTTGAAGCTGCAGCGTAAAAGCGTCATGGGGGCTGATTTATCGTTGTGACAAACGGTACGTTTTTTAGGCCAAATATTGCATAGAGCGTACCCATTTCACCTTGTATCACGTACATGGCGCCATAAATGGTTGTACCGCGCAAATTAAAAGCTGTACTCATGGCAACAGTGCACTAAAACTAGCGTCCATCTTGCTAAAGGTCGAACCCAAATCTCGGTATTTTTCCCCTTACGGTAATACCGTTACAACATCAAGCTTTTTGCTAGGATGTCTATTAGCTCTGGTGTGTCCAAGGGTGGAAATAGTACACGTACACAACCTGCTGTGATAAGATGATGAGAATACATGTATCGCGTGTGGTGTCTCTCTCTCACTCTCTCTCTCTCCCTCTCTATCTCTTTCTCTCTCTCTCTCTCTCTCTCTCTCTCTCTCTCTCTCTCTCTCTCTCTCTCTCTCTCTCTCTCTCTCTCTCTCTCTCTCTCTCTCTCTCTCTCAGTACCATGTGCCCTATGTTGTAACTGCCACTGAGTTTCACATAATCCCATTGCTATTCCTGTCCTTTTCGCATTGTTTCACGAGCAGATGTCCTCCGGAGACGGGGAGGGAGAATCCGGTGAGGAGAAAGCAGCAACAGCGACATCGCCATTCGACGGGCTCGTCGTTTCGCTACCGACAACACCATCAAGCCTGGCGCACACGACCGACGGCATGACTCAAGTTCCGCTTGTTGATGGTCTATCAGTTAACATGACCGGAGAAGGCATCAGCGGGGAGAAGAAGATGAAGTCCTACTATTCCTGGATACCCGTTACGACGTTCACGCGCTGGAGAAAGAACGTCACCTTCAAAGTCCGGAGCACGTACAAGATGCCACCGCGCAGAGTGCTGAATAGCGAGACACATCGGCTGAACGACGCTTTGTAACTGCACCACGGATCTCAGATAGCGCTAGCGCTGCCCTTGTCTTCTCTCTGTCTCTCTCTCAAACTCTCTCTCTCTCTCTCTCACACAAACACACACACACACACACCCTGCTTTTGGACAGATAGTAGGGTGACTTGAATGTATTGTGTACCAGTTAGGCCCAGACAGATTCTGCCAGCAATTATTTCGGCAAAATATCGAAGAATTGAAAAAGCGGAAATTGCCGGGAAAATCGGACAACAATATTGAGATTCTTGTGTAACATCGATAACCGCGCACATCCGTTCTCCGCAAAAAAATATCCCGATGGGCGAGGGAACCAGATAATCGAACACACACACACTGTATGTACCGTAAAGTCTTGTATAAAAGCCGCACTTGAATAGAAGCCGCCCTCGAATAGAAGCCGCAATTTTGGGCCCATCAAATCACACCTAAGCCTGGTTTTAGTGTTGACATACATAGAAACACCTGTCTCATATAGAAGCCTGCAAAATTTCACCAAGAAAGTCCTAGAAGCCGCGGCTTTTATACAAGACTTTACGGTATGCATGGCATACGCTGTAAATCGGTAACCAACGATTTTCTTTCGGATGGCGAGGGATCCGGATAAAAGTGGACCGGATAAGTGAGATCTGAACTGTACTTGGATTTCGTTGTTTCTCGGCATGATCACTGCCCAGGACGAGATCATGTCACCGAAAAATCACTGGGATTCACTGTGGATCGACATGAGTTTGGAAGAACCCAGGGACGCGTGTATGAAAACCCTTGTTGAGAAACCGATTATGCGATTTTTATGAAACGTACGGGAAGTGGATAAAATACACGTTTTCCGGAGCAACATCGCATTTCTGGTGCCAGCCAGGCTCGGCAAATTATCGAAGATTTCGCCACAACATTTTCTGGCAAAATATCGCGGCGAGCAGAGCAGAATCTGTCTGAGCCTACAGCATTGTGGTGCCAGTACCCAGTCGTGGCAAACTCTGTCCTCTTCGCACCGCATTGCTATGACGATGCAGAAGCTGCTGCAGGATACTGGATTGAGTGCCTGCATACCTTCCTGGGCGTCATGGTTTCATGCATGGTTGTACTGCTACCGACTATGTAACAGCAGTCTGTACTATCGTGTCGGACATGCACGCATGTTGGGCAGAAAGTGAGAATCATCGGGCTTCGGGTCTGTAGTGGTAGCTCGTAAAGTCGACAGGAATGGTGTGGGCTGTACATGAATGTATTTGTGTACAGTATAGCTCGACTTGTCAGGGGTTCAAGGGCTGATAATCCCCTGACCCAGGGGATTATTCTTCATAATCCCCTCGGTGAGGGGAAAGAGATCCTATACATAGCTACATGTACCGGTACGCAGTACTTGGTGCCTTTGCCCGACATCAAAAGTACGTAACCATGGTAACTCACGGGGAGTTATGTGCAAGCCATATGTACAAGCGAGAGTATGGCCGGGGGGGGGGGGGCGTTATATATTCCTGGTAAAAGTTTGTTCTCTTCGTAACATCGTTATTCGAAGAGTTGAGAAATAACTACTTTTTCTACTATTTCCTAAACACTCCACTACTCCGGTCTACTAGTGTTGGTCCGTCCTGGTAAACCTTTCAGCGGCCTTTCCTTATCTGTGGACGACGTCTGAGCCTAGCGCCTACAAGCTAGCTGATTTTCTTGTCGGTCTCCCAGACCTTTCGATTTGTGCCATTGTGAACGACATCCTGGTCTCTTTTAGCCCAGCGGACAAGGGGGTAGAGATTTTCAGGCATTGTTCAAGTTTGGGAGTGGAGTTGAGCCATGACCGATCTTCATAGCTGCATACCTACCAACCTGGTTGCAAACCTGATACAGGTCGTCCCTCGTTAATACATAATCTCTGGGACTTGACAAAATTTAATGTTATTGTATTAACGGGGTTTATGTACTAAACGAAAGTGTACATAACTTGCTTGTGTACCAGAATTTTTCACTTTTTTCAACTTTTCTGAGTGCTTCTTGCTACCATCAAGAGTACATGTTTATGTACTCTTGCTACCATGACTAGGGAGCGAGATATTCTTGATTTCCTCGATATGACATAAAAATTATGTTATAGCAGTCACAGTCAGCGAAGATTCTACAGTTTACATGATACAGTCATGTCCAGCCGTTCCTGTATACAGTCACTCGGGAAAAAACAGAGCTTTGTCGGTTTGTGATGTGCGCTCTGATTTCTGAGCTAATTGCGTCCACAAGTAGAAACTAGAACATGAGGTGTCTCCAGTGGAAGGCCAAAAGACCAACAAATTATGTACTATTGAGATAGGCGGCATGCGGGTACGGAGAAATGTTATGTACTAACCGACACAATTTGTATGGAAGTGATCACGTTTCGTCCGGGACTTGAGATTTCTTATGTACTAACGGGGTTTATGTACTAACCGGACTCGTATTAACGGGGGACGACCTGTATGGAGGAAATGACACACTACATGTAGGTAGGAAAATGTGTACAATTTTTTCTAATCAATCATTTGGGTGCCGCCATGTGCTATCGACATCGGGATGGTCCCGACCAAATCGGGATGGTTGGCATGTACATGTATGTAGCTGATTCCTGCTTTGGCATAATTCCATAGTTTCCCCTTGCTTTGGCTAAGTTCGAGTGTGATCGAGAGGTGCAAAATAACTACTTCAGTCAGTTTGGCAAAGAAGTTGTTCGTGGATGATTTTCTTGTCGATGTCCCGCTCTTTTTGTAGTGGACGACATCCTGGTCTCTTTTAGCCCAGAGGACAAGGGGGTAGAGCTTTTCCGGCATTGTTCAAGTTTGAGCGTTGAGTCGACCCATGAACAATCTCCATAGCGGATTCGTGAGCAAAGTTTCACACCTTATCACGGTTCATGGAGTCTATACTGAAGTCTGATACACAAGCTGCCTGGACATCGGGAAAGAGACGGTTGAATTGATCATGAGTATCTCTGTTAAAGAATATCATTTTAGTCTTTAATTAATACTCGTGGTCGGCCTCGGCTTCCACATCAACATTCAAGAAATGGTGGTTGAGATCTTTGCCTGGAGTTTATCCACTGACAATTGCTTGCAACTACATGTAATCAAGAGTCCATAACCCAGGGTTATGGACTCTTGATGTAATGTACTTGAGCGCCAATGAGCGGGCTCACGATGATGTCATCGGCGAACACCAATACATTACTGAGATTGAGACATCGGCAGGTCAATACACTAAACAGAATGCCGGTAACTGGCATTCCGGGTAGTACTAGTAGTAGCCCCAGGATTGACACCAGGAGGACGCAAGAATGAGCGGGCGTGCGAGCCGGTGTGGCCAACGCGTACAGACTGTAACCTGGCAGGTAAAAATAGCTTCTGAAGAAGAACAAAAACAAAACAAAAAGTCAAAAACAGAACAGTTTAAGATAAAGGGAAGGCGGGCTAGGCCAATGATGCGTAACTGAGCATGCTGCTCAGGTGGTGGCAGTACTGTATTTTCTGGCATATAAGCCGCACCCAGATGCATTTTCCACAGAAGTAGCATTATACTGTGATTGAATTAATGAAGTGTTCACCGCCTGTACACTTGTACAGTGGGGCGGCGTAGCGGTGTGCTCTCTGTTTTCAGAGGGAAAGGAAACACGTTTTAGTGTTAATCCCACTCAAACCGTGCTGACACTTCTCCAAGGCTACAATCAGTCGTGTAGAAGGCTTGGAAAAGGACATCTTCTTCTCCGCGCGTTTTTCCCAGCGTCAAACAATGGTGCTCCTCGGATGGGTGGCCACTATGACTGCACGAACGATGGCCTGCGCAGATATCACCAATATTATTTTTACCATGGTGGTGGACGTAGAAATAATATTTTATTTTATATATCTGAATTATTCGAAATCTGAATCTTCGTGGTGGCCCTGGATTGTTCTCTATCCTCTTGAAATGACAACCATTGCGTCCCAAGGAGACCATGCATCCAGTTCTTCTGATTCTGAAGGTGAATCCGGTATCAAGGACATAGCGTTTCGTTCCCCAGGGCAGAACAAGCCGCAATAGCTACTATCAAAAAACTACTTTGAAAAGCAAGTCATCCAGTAGGACTAGGATGACCACCCAAGTAGGGAGGTTTAGTTCCCACGTAACGGAAACGCGTACGTGAGTGATACACGTAAAGTGGATGAAGGGCACCCACGTTGTAATGTTGTGTTTAGTCACACGGAGCAAACAAAAGCATGAAGCGAAAGGCCCAAACCTGGCTTGGCTCCATACACGGTATGTCATGAATCAGAAAACGTCTGTACGTGGGTCACTGAGTATCACGTGGTACACACACGTAAAGTACCCACGGATTACGTGGGACTAAACCTCCCTAGTACAGTAGTAGGCTAGTGTCAACCCTGAAGGAATCATTTCACAAGTACTGCTACATCGATGGGAAAGCTGTACCACAACGTGAGCCAATTACTATCTAATTTATTTTCATTTTTATTATAATCCCGGGATGGGAAATGGACCACACCTGGAAGAACTGCAATACCAGGGTGATCCGTGGAGAGGGTGAAGCAAGCTTCGAGCCACTCTCCAAGGAGCAAAAATACATTTGATCGAATGTTGACATATAGTCAACATATCAGCGATCAAACTGATAAGAACAGATACTACACTTGATCTTAGCCAAAAGGCCGAGAAGCGATAACTTTCTTCACCCAGGGTGTTTTCCTTTGTCTAGAATCTATATTCAGGGTCCATATTACTTGGACAGCCAACCCACAACATACAGTCACCATATTATATCGCCAGGGAAGGCAGAAACGCCTTCCACACACTGTCACATCACGTTTTCGTGTCACACACACTTCGCGTCACAGAAACTGCCGTATTTCCATGGCAACCATCCAGAAGATACCCAGGGAATCACCCACATGACCATAACGCTACAGAGGACATGGCTGATCATCAAAAGCAAATTGCCAAAACCAAAGAAACTGAAATCACAATCCATTTCCGCACATATCATGCATACATGTACATATCACCATGGAAACCATGGTAACTAGCAGCACTGTATCTGGGTTAGAGGCTCAGTTATACTTTCAGTGACCCTTGCTGGTCTTACTGATGACCATTCCATCTTTTGTGCATATCTTCAGTGCATCACCATGACAACGAATAATCTTCATAATTTTGGTCTGGGTACGAGGTCACAGCACGGCATCACCTATTCAGGCTATTGCACTTTGATCAATATACTCCCCACACAGGACTTGTCCTGGTGAGCATGAAACATAATATCCGACTGCTTTCTTCTTGCCATCAGTATCAGGACTGCGTGCGTTCCACCCAAATATTACAATGCCCAGCATGCTAGCACACTATGTATCGGCATGTGTACTGCCTTATAAGGAGTGTCATCCGATGTACACTACATACACATGAACATGTCCACGTATACCGTGGTAACTCATGTACGGTAAAGGCATGTACACCATCACGCTAGCACATTGAGTCACAGTCTGAGTGTAAAGCTGATGGATGATACACACGTTCACACCATGTTGCATGACTACAAGACACACAGCAGGTATGACAAAGAGCCACTACACCGGCTCTACAAGTAATAACCGTTTGTAGCTACACAGGCAAGACACCTTTACAATAGAGAGGTTTTGCATTCCGAATTTCGGTACAGCGTTCTTCGGTCATTTGTCGAACATCAAAATGTCGAATTTTCGCACCAACGTCTGTTTTGCAAGTCGAAAATGATGTGTTTCCATTTCGTGAGCCCCAGCATCAGCAACGTCCTGTCCCGTGCTCCATTTCTTGCTGATTCCAACGAACTTTGATCGCCCAAAGAGTCGAGGGCCAAACCTGCCCCCTCAGTCGCCTCAGAAAAACCAACTCCATGCCCAAGTCAAATGTTATGCGTGTCGCCATAGTCTTTTCAGCCACACAGATGACGGTGAGGACACTCCAGGCGAAAGAGAGTAGACAGGCAGTGGAGAGGAGCAATCAAAGGTAGCTGACGATGCTATGTCGCCAAAGACGCCTGCGAAGCGATGCCGAGATAAGAAACCTCTTTGAATAAATCACGCGCTAGCGCTCTTCTACAAGAAAATGCATCCGAAAAATATTTTCGGCAAAGTGAGCTTTTTCCGAACAAACACGCCGAATCTTCGTGTGCATTTTCGACCTCGCTCCCGCGTGCCGAATCTTTTTGCCGAATTTCGGAATGCAAAACCTCGCTAATACAGGAAGCATTTGTACCCAGAAACAGACATGAACACTGGAGCTTAGAGAGCAACCTCAAAGTTAGGTCTCGTGGCGGTGCAGAAGCAACACACGGCTGCTGGGCAGCAAAGATACGGATTGAGATACCAGGTCCTACTGTACACACAAGCCCGCACATACACTGCCTGACGCCAACCTGCGAGAAGCGAACAACAGTGCTGGCCGAAAACATTCCCACCACCATTATATCGCCCACTGTAGATGAAAAAGAGAGCTCCACCCAATTGCACCCACGGCCATAGGGCCATGTCCGCTACAAGAAGTTCCTTACACAACAGCATGCCGATCCCTAAGACAGGTGGTTGCCATTGACGACCGTGGTTGCCATACTTTGCCATTTTCGGACTGTGCACGTGGCATACCCGCCAACCTTTGTAACCCTGAGATCGGGACATTGATATACAGTAGCTAGGTACGAAACATTGAAAATGTAGATGTGAGGCAAGCGACTAATGCACTTTTGGGTGCCCCCCCCCTCGATATCGGGACGCGACGGTCCCGGCCAAATCGGGATGTTGGGCAGGTATTCTGTGGTGTCATTATTTTTTACGCAGGTCACCAGTGTTTTCAAAACAGGGCAGATAACTTTGAACTGAGATCAGCTCATGGCAAAGCAAAAAAAAGGACCTGCCTCTCAAACGTAGATACACATCGCCTTGGCGACGAATAAGGTGCCGGGTGAACACTGCTGCATGCGGTAAGATGTACGAGAGATGTCCCGTAAGAAATGACTGCCTAATTCAGACAAGTTGGAGACAATGCCATGCCTTACGGGTCACCTGGATGAACGTTTAGTAAATTGGACCACTAGAACTAAAGGAAGCACTTAGGAAAACACCCTGAACGATGAAAGTTATCGCTTCTCGGCCTTTTGGCTAAGATCAAGTGTAGTATCTGTTCTTATCAGTTTGATCGCTGATATGTTGACTATATGTCAACATTCGATCAAATGTATTTTTGCTCCTTGGAGAGTGGCTCGAAGCTTGCTTCACCCTCTCCACGGATCACCCTGGTATTGCAGTTCTTCCAGGTGTGGTCCATTTCCCTTCAGGGAATCAAAATTAAACTAAAAGAATGTCTAAAAATCGTACCCAGAATATGACAGTCAACTGAGTCCTGCTCAGTGAAATCTATCATGTGAGTCAAGTAAGAACATACACTACACACATTGCAATTGTGAGGAATGACTGGCTTCTTTTCCAGCCCGGCCTGGACTTTAGAGCACCCGCACAATTCAGGACGGAGAATTTAATCTAGCGAATAAAGTAGCATCCCGTTCAAGTGCACAGAAGAGTGGTTGTGGCGCTAGGTCCGCCGTGTACCGCACTGCCCAGCGCCAGTGCTCCTTTATTCCGGTCGAATATCTCGGCCCTAGACCGTCCGGGTGTTTGATATACACGGGCTGATAAGCCTTCTAAAACTGAGACACCTCCTTTCCACACAACACCAACCTAACGGTAGACCGTAGCATTACATGCCATGCCATACGCATGCACTCACAAGCACATACCGCGCAGTTTTCACGTTTTATAGTCTTTACAAATCTTACCATAAAATATGTAGAGCGTGGTGCAGCGTGTTCTTGCCTGCATGGCTGAGGTAATCCGTCGCCACGGATCTTAGCAGGTGGACATGATATCCTAGCTCAGGCGTTCTCTCATTCTCGCAACATCCTGAGAGAGATGTTCGCCTAATCAACAGCTCGTTCAGTTTGTTTTCAAAAGTACAGGTGTGAAAAAAGAACAAGGTTTCAAGAGAAAATAGTCACGCAGTTTTGTGACCGCTGGATTTTGCAAGCTGATCTTGCTTCCATGCGGCACCGTGACATGTCTGATTCACTGGACACGTTTCAGAGGCACAGCTCATAGACACAGCAACAGATGAGTGAAGTTTGAACGCACATATAAAAGCCAAAGGCATTTCTTCTCCAGAAAAAATCGAAAAAATCTCTCCTGCGCCACTGCGATCGCATGCGCAGCACGTACACCATGTACACGCGTACGCATGCATGCATGCCACATGGCTAGTTACCAAGGTAGCAAACATGGCTGCCAGAACTGAAACATTTTCCGGGATTTTAGTCATTTTTGAAAAAGAGAATCCAATGAATCATCAAGAAATTCGAAAGTCCTGCAGCTGATCAAGAGAGTGAAGCTGCGAAGGGAACTCAATGACAATGTTCATGTTTTCCTCAAATGTATTGAAAGGTCCAGAACCTACAATCTTCTCCGCACTGTAGTTGTTTTTTCTTTCAAACCTCCCACGAATAATAATGTCTGAATTGAAGTCTCTTTCTGGCCCGGATGCTTTCGTAGTTGAAGATAACGATGCCATTCAAAATGCAAGCGCCTCCAGCAAAAGAAAGGCCAGGAAACAGGACAAGAAGCTTGGCCGAAAGCAGGCACAGTACCGAAAGGTTTTGGGCGAACTGGGAGTGGAGTTTTCTGCTGACAATACGCCATACTTGTTCGTGGCCAACGGCGGATTGGACAACGGCGTTGACAGGGAATCCCTAGTCACCTTGTTCTCCAAGTATGGTGTTCTTCAGCGAGTTGTAATGCAGAAGCACAAGGCTTACGCCCTGGTAGAGTTCTGTGATGCGCGCAGTGCGCAACGTGCATGTGTAGAGTTGAACGGAGTCGTGATGGACGTGGCCACTATGTCGTCTCGGTCGCCTCTCTACCTCCTGGCCATGTCCGCAATGCCACGGCACGGCGAGTGCGAGGCGGCTGACGGCGGTGCAGAGTTCTTCGCCAGCCGTCCGCCTGGACTGCACATCCTGCCAGAGTTCATCAGTGAGGACGAGGAGCGCCGACTCGCGGAGTTCTTCGGCACGGACATTGTGGAGGCTGAGCCGTCAGAAGGCAACAGTGCCAGTAGTGGATGCAGCAGCAGCGCTGGCTGTGCGACTAGAGTAAAAGCAACGTGCACGGAAAGCAACAGCAGCAGTGCAAGTCACGTTTACCCGGATTCCCCTCTCCAAACCCCCTCCGGTGAGACACTCAGCAGTGAAAAGGCCGATGGTGGTGTCGCGGATGGCTGCCACTCGGTTCAGGGCAGCCTGAAGCATCGGCGGGTGCGGCATTACGGGTACGAGTTTCGCTACGGTTCGAACGACGTTGACGCGTCTCGGCCGCTGGATAATCACCCAGGTTCGGTCAGCGGCCTGCCGAGATTGCTGGATGATGTGCTACGTCGTATGACAAAGTCTGATGCATCGTCGACTGGCAAGCCGATTGTGTGTGCATTTCCTGACCAGCTGACTGTCAACGATTATCAGCCTGGGCAAGGTATGTTGTTTTTGATAGTGTGAGCCTGCAGTGGTATTGAAGGTGTGCATGCCTGTGTGTGGTTGGATGTGTCGGTTGTGTGTGGTTGGATGTGTCCGTTGTGTGTGGTTGGATGTGTCCGTTGTGTGTGGTTGGATGTGTCCGTTGTGTGTGTGTGTGTGTGTGTGTGTATGTGTGTGTATGTGTGTGTGTGTGTGTGTGTGTGTGTGTGTGTGTGTGTGTGTGTGTGTTTCATCACCGCTGTGTTCGTTTCTTGCTGGATATTCGCAGAGTAACACAATGGCAGGAGCACATCTCCAACACCACTCTCCTTGAACGAGCCAAGGTACAGCCGATCGAGGAGGCACTGAAAACGCGTCGAGTCCGCTGGTTAGGCCATGTTGCTCGAATGGATGACTCCCGTATGCCAACGTGTATCCTCTTCGGCAAACTGGACAAGACCCGGCCAACTCATGGGCCCCGGAAGCGGTGGCAGGACAATGTTGTGTCCGACATGACGGACCGCCAGATAGCGGACTGGTACGACCTCGCCCAGGATCGCAGAGAATGGAGATCAGCATGCAGCACCATTCCTCCGACCGAGCCCGTCACCTTAGACTTCGTTTGCACTTGTGGAAAGCGCTATCGCCGTCGCCAGGACTTGACTCGCCACGCCTGATTCTGCTCGTGACTTGAACACTGTTGGTCCCTTCGGGACCTGCTCTCATCTCCGGATGGGCATATTGTATTGTATTGTATTGTGTGTGTGTGTGTGTGTGTGTGTGTGTGTGTCTGTCTGTCTGTGTTCCTAACTTCCTAACCTACCCAATTAAATCCTCACGGAGTCTGCATGGCCAGATCATTGCAGTGTGTCTAAGACATCTGAGCCCATGTTTCTTTTGCCAGAGTGTAACCTGCGAAAGGAACTCTGCTATCTTTGAATACACACTGGACCAATTTCAGCTTTTGCTGTGAGCAGCAGGAGTGACTTTTTGGTTTCTGTTCACTGCCTTCTGTATCTGTGATCTGTAGGAATTCCACCTCACGTTGACACAAGTTGGGCATTTGAAGATTCAATCATCTCTCTGAGTTTGCTATCATCGGTTGTCATGGAGTTTCGCCATGCCGACGGTCGCTGGGTCCCCGTGTGGTTGCCGCGCCGATCCCTCCTGGTGATGTCGGGCGAGTCTCGCTACAACTGGTCACATGGGTAGGTGTATGTGCGTGCATATGTCTGTGTCGGTCTGTTTGTCTGTTCATCTAACTATGAGTCTGTCTGTTCATCTATCTATCAGTCTCTCTGTGCCCAGTTAACTGTCTCCGTGTTCCTCTCTATGCATTGAGTTTTGCATCAGTGTTACGATAATGGATGTGTGTGTGTGTGTGTGTGTGTGTGTGTGCGCGTGTGTGTGTGTGTGTGTGTACATGCATGTGTGTGTGTGTGCATGCGTGCGTGCATCCATTACATTTGGTATTTCTGTGTTTGCAGCATCACTCCACGCAAAGTGGACTGCATTCCAGCATCATTACTCACTAACAACCCAGGTTCTAGTGCCACAGAATGTTCTGCTACAAGTAGCCCTTCTCAAGCTGGATTCGGTGGTCTCACACTTGTGCCGAGAGATCGCAGAATATCACTGACATTCCGCAAGATCATCAAGGACCCCCAGCGTCCGACCAATACGGAGTCCAGTGCTGATCGATCTAACAGGTAAGGAAATGAATTGCTTACTGGCACAGTGAAACCTGTGTGTTTGCCAGACCCTGTACCAAACAGAATCCTGTATTGACCAGACACGTGTTCATGCACCAAAGTGCTGCGGATCGAAGATTCATCCCTGGATCAAGCCCGAATCTTGTAACATCGGGACAGATCTCGCTGCACCAAAGGCGTCCGGTCAGGACAGGTTTTATTGTATCTTGCGTTTGTAATTTTCATTTTGAATCTTGTAGAGCATTGCTAGTCAACTTCTGGTATGCGTTACGCACGTGTTCTAGAGTAATTCAATCCACCCGGTGTCATTGTTTATCGGCTAGAGAGGGGAAAGATTAGTACTCTGTGTGTGTATGTGCGTATGGGTGGGTGTTTGTGTTTGTGTGTTTATGATGTTAGTTCGTCCACTCAGTCACAGTTTCAAGTTCCAACGAGTGACAAGGAGGCGGCTGAAATGGAAACCAAGCACGTGTATGAGGTAGGCTATGACTGTGCAAATTGCAGGCTCTGTACATCTTCTATGTACATGTGAATGTGCACAGGGTTTTTGTTTTGTTTTTGTTTTGTTTTTGTTTTTGTTTTTTTGGGGGGGGGGGGGGTGCGGACACTCTGCCACCAACTCTATTTTCTGCCCTTCATCCTCACCGGCAATAATGCACGATGGTGATGTCAGTAGTGCCGACGTATTTCCGAGTCCACCCAGAGTGTGTGGATTGGAGATCAGCCGTTGGGCGGTTCTACAGTATCCAAGTGAATTCAACGTGGTCTTTTCGGGCTCGGACAGCCAAACATAGACGCCCGACCCATTATTATTATTTTTATTTTTATGAAAGTGCACATTAGGGATTGGTCATTGTTTGCAGCGATATGAGTGGGTCAGTCCACACTCTGCTATTGTGGTGGATTGCTGACTTGATGTGCTGCTGTTGTTTGCCTCGCGCCCATAGCCTGCATGTGTTTGTACTTGACGCAATAATATCTTTATTCAAATTTAACAAAAATGTGAGAACAGGAAGGAAGGTGTTTGTACTATCGTATAGCACACTGTCTGTATTGCACTGCACTGCCGCCCTGGCTGCATGCTACCCATGTGATTATACCAGTGGCTAGCTCTCGCATTCACACTCTTACTGGCGGTGGATGGTGTAAAACTAGAACATTGAATGTGAGAAATCACTTTTTTGGCTCTCACTGTCGCATTCCGTAATGCTAGTAGTCCACTTGTGTTGACTTCATGTGGTGTTATTGGTGCCGGGCTGGTAATGATTGTCTTCGTGCCTTTCTGTGGATGGGTGTCCAGTGATTGTGATGGTGCTCTCGCCTTTCTGTGGATGGATATCATTCGGTTGTGATGGTGTTCTCGTCTTTTTGTGGATGGGTTTCTGCGGTAGTGATAGCCTTCTCGTCTTGCTCTGGAATGATGTCCTGTGGTGGTGATAGATTTCTCGCCTTTCTCTGGATGGGTTTCTGTGGTAGTGATAGCCTTCTCGTCTTGCTCTGAATGGATGTCATGTGATTTGTGATAGTGTTCTCGCCTTTCTGTGGATGGATGTCCTGTGGTGATGATACACTGTAGTCTTCTCGCCTTCGTGTGGATGGATGTCATGTGGTAGTGATAGTCGTCTTGCCTTCCGTGAATGGATATCCTGTGATTGTGATAGTACATAAAGCCTTAGCCGGAGGGGAACATATTAGAATGGGAAGAGACGAAGCCAGGTGTAAATCTGATGAGGCCTTTCGTACCATTCCTTCTCAACGATTGTGATAGTGTTATCGCCTTTCTCTGGTTGGATGCCCTGTGGTGGTGATGGTGGTCTCACCTGTCTATGGTTGGATATCCTGCGTCTGTGATAGTCTTCTCGCCTTTCCTTTTGGAATGATGTCTTGTGGTAGCGGTGTGACTGGGCTGTTTAGTCTGTGCAGTGCTTCTTCAGAGATGCTTTGAGAAATGGTGCTGCTGGTCCGAGCCTTTGCTTGTTTTCTTTCTCCAGTGCAATCTTGAATGATGTTGTACAGTTGTCAAGGTTAATCTCGAGCAGATATTGATGATAATGTCAAAAGTGGAGGAGTCATTCAGGAGGCACTTTTGGAGTCCCTTTGTTTGGTCTTTTCTTTCCCCTCCGCTGTCCATCGTTTTTCTTCCTTTTGCTCTTCTTTCTTCTATCATTTCCTCTGTGCATGTGTATGCGTGTGTGTGTGTGTGTGTGTGTCTCTCTCTCTCTCTCTCCCTCTCCCCCCCCCCCCTCTCTCTCTCTCTCTCTCTCTCTCTCTCTCTCTCTCTCTCTCTCTCTCTCTCTCTCTCTCTCTCTCTCTCTCTCTCTCTCTCTCTCTCTCTCTCTCTCTCTCTCTCTCTCCTATTGGTACTTTGTGTAATGCTATTTTTCTTCTCGTTCTTGTTGATGATCTGTTCTTGTCAGGTGTATGACTGTATTGCGTCACATTTCAGTTCCACCCGTCATACGCCTTGGCCAAGAGTTGTGGACTTCCTGAGCACCGTGGCTCCTGGCTCTTTTGTCCTTGATGTTGGTAAGTCTAGGCACGTGGAACAGCCTAGGTCAAGGGAAATGCAGTTGTTGAGCTGTTTGTGCCGGTTTTACACAAATGAGCCACGTCACGATAAAAGAGTGCTTATGGCACGCGACATCAAACTGAGAAAAACTCGTTTCAAAGTTGAGTATGCAATATTGAGAGTGCACATTTTCTTTTTGAATTCGATTAGTTTTCGTTGCGATTTATCAAGCTTTTTGCAACAGAAGCAGTGATAACTCAGCCATTGCGCTGTATCCATAACTCAGTTTGTGAAATGTTTGCCATAAGCACCCTTTTGTCATGGTGCGGCTCAAATATGTGTGTGTGTGTGTGTGTGTGTGTGTGTGTGTATGTGTGTGTGTGTAGGGATTCACTGGCCAGAAAAAGCCACTTCATAGCTGTGTGGTGTAGACCAGGCTGAATAGTGGTGGTCAATTCTTCAGCCTTGCAAGCTGTTGAATGGTGCAATCCCAGCACAAGCTGCTATGGCTTCTGCCGTAGCATCGCTATCATCGCCTCCGGCGATGGGCGTCCAATGGTCCAATGGTGTGTGTATGTGTGTGTGTGTGTGTGTGTGTGTGTGTGTGTGTGTGTGTGTGTGTGTGTGTCTGCCGTTGTGTCACTGTGTATCTGGATGTTTGGGTGCATGTATCTGCCTGTACATGCTTCACATGCGCACATTACGAGAACCCGGTAGCGCTCGTGAGAAGGACGATAGGCATGAGACCAGTGCGGAACGCAAGAGGTCCATGCTGCAGCAGCTAAGCAGATGACAATGACGCTTGAAGAACCAGCGCGTCCGAGAACATTAGTACAGTCACCAAACTGAACGGCATTCAACGTGAAGTGGCAGCACTACCAGTTCCTACTGTGAATTTTAAATCAGGTCTTTGTTATCGAATGCCTGGCAGTCCTGAAAAATAAAATCCTTTCCCTATTTCTTGAACAGTTGCTGCATGTGTGCATTGCGTGTCTCTGCTACAGGTTGTGGCAATGGCAAGTATATGAACGTGAACCCCAGCACAGTATCGGTGAGTTCACTAGATTGCTAGTATCACAACACGTGTGTGGGGGGGGGGGGCTTATGTCCGGGCATACTAGTAAGCGCATGCGCTTCTATGTGTGCAAGTATGGTAAGAGTTTATACCAGCTTTCATTCCTCGAGGCCGTGATGTGCAGTTCATACATACTGTTGTGTGCAACCTCTCTAATGAGTATTCACTGTTTCTTTTTTCTTTCTCTTCTGGGTCCTAGATCGGCTGTGATCGAAGTATTGGCTTGACGAAAATTGCTTAGTAAGTGGAAGCGAACTCTGTGTGTGCATGTGACTGGAGCATTTGCTCATGTAGTGTTGTGTGTGTGTGTGTGTGTGTGTGTGTGTGTGTGTGTGTGTGTGTGTGTGTGTGTGTGTGTGTGTGTGTGTGTGTGTGTGTGTGTGTGTGTGTGTGTGCGTGTGTGTGTGTGCATACTCGTATGGGAGTTTGCTGACATTGTAGTCTCTCGCAGCTCCTTCCGCAATGCTGCAATGTACTACTCTGGGAAACACGTGTTTGGCAACAGCCCCAGTACACTGGTCTTATCAGGCAGGTGGTCTTTCAGCACAGGTTCAAATGTAACGCTATGTAGCAACACTGTCTGGATCCTGGCATGACTGGTCTCGTAAGATAGGTGGTCTCATATCACAGGTTTTGACAAGTGCTCATGTATTGTGATGATCTCCCTCTCACCCTATATACGCCCATGTGGGGTTGGTTCTTGTATCGAGTCCTGTATTTTGCTGTCTGCACACGTGGATGTGTACTGTATGCTGGCTGCCAGTTGTGTGAGTCCAGAACGAAAAGTACAGAAGAGAGAGGCTACGTTATTCTTTCAGGGTATGCCCGAAGCCCTAGCTCGGGTCCAGTTTTAACGTCTGTGTGTGTGTTTTTGTGTGTGTCTGTGCAGTGAGCGAGATCTGAATGTTGCAGTGGCTGACATTCTGAATCTCCCGTACCGTGAAGGTTTCTTTGACGCCTGCATCTGCATAGCTGTCGTACATCATCTAGTGACACGGGTCAGTGTGTTTGTACTATTGCAATGTGTTGTTGCTACTACTAATGCTGCTGCTGCTGTTTTTGTTGATGCTGCTGATGGTGCTGGTGCTGCTGCTGGTGGTGGCGTTGCTCATGGCGCTGCAACCACTGCGCCTGCTGCTGCCGTGGCTGTTAATGTTGATGGTCAGGGGCGTACATAGGGCGGTTCCCGGGATGCCCGGGAACCAGTAAAACAAATTCGATATGGGTACAGAGAATTTTTTGAACCAGGCCCAGCGCTAGTAATACTAATACTAGTATAGCGCTCATAGACTCACAGTGCAAGTGCATGCAGTGCATGTCTGGAGTCCGCCTGCCGGTCCGAGGACGGTGACTAGCCCAGGTGTGAAAGTGGTGCTGGGAGAGGGACACAGCGTAGATCTACTGAACTGGGCCATGCCTGAACCCATCATGGGTTCAACAAAGTCTCTAGTCTAGTTACATCGCCGGATTCCTCGATCTCAGAGTCAAATTTTCTTTTGGAGTTTGTTTTGACAAAGTTGGTCGTGTTTTGACGATGCTTTCGCTTTGTGGAAAAGAAAAATGAAGAGTCGACATCCAGAGGGCCAGCGCTCTATTCAGAGCTATTTTGAGCTGCAGGCAAAGTGTGTAGCCAGTGCTAGTGGCGAAGGTCAAGCGATAGATGAGAATGCAGACGCACCTGACGTGCAAGTGAAGTATGCATGCAACGAGCAGCGCTGAGGAAGAAATCGTCGGCGAAGCTGTAGAGCGACCGTTGTTGGAAGCTGCTGGATCATCCAAAACTTACTTCAATGACACGGGAGTGTGTTGGAAGGGATATTCTGAAAGTCGACGTCCACAGTGGAATCCAGTCCCCCCAAAATGTGCTGGACACGGTAAAGATTCCCGTCATCGACAATTATTGTGCGCCACCACAGGCGAAGGATTTCATTTCCTGTGCGTATCCAGATGGATGGCAAACAGCGCCGCTTTCAACTATCCTTGTTGGAGGAGCTACCCTGGATAGTCTTTTGACAGGCATGCAATGGTGGCTTCTGCTTGCCCTGTGTGATGTTTGCTCCAGATGATTCGAAACTTAGGCAGCTTTCAAGACTGCACGCCATCGTCACGCTGAACAAAACATCCATAAAACGGGGAAAAGTTCAGTCTTTTAAAACCATAAATGCGTAGCAATGACATCGTCCAGCAGCTTCTGGATGTCAATTTAACCCAGTCTGAGGAGAATATGCAAAAACTCTGTTGGGTACGAAAAACAGCATTTCTGTTTTTTCAATTGTGTGTAATGGTGGTTCATCAGTTGGCATGGGAACCACTCCTGGAGGCAAGCGGCGTACGCCCCTGATGGTGATGGTGATGGTGTTGCTGATGGTGTTGTTGATGGTGTTGCTGATGGTGATGGCGATGGTGTTGCTGATTGTGCTGCCCCTACTGGTATCTACTTGATTTTTTCTGCAGTCTGAAATACTTTCCTTTTCTCTCTTCGCCTCTGCCTCTTCTGAACTGGTTTTCACGTCAAGAAGCAATTCAGTATCTTGTATTTGTTGAAGTATTGCCTTGTGGCCTGGTCTCTATAGATGAGAGTCTCACAAGGAAGAACACTTCCTGCTGCCAGCGGAGATGAGAGTCTCTATTTTGCAGTGGTCGCTTTACTACATAGGCGAGTTTTTGTCTTCGCTCATTGCGTTCTGTTCCTTCTGCTGCGCTTGCTCTCTTCTCTTTTACACACATGTACAGGAGAGACGTCTGAATGCACTGCGACAGCTGCTGCGTGTCACCCGACCGGGCGGTCGTGTGCTGGTGTACGTCTGGGCACAAGAGCAGGAGAAGTCGGCGACCAAGGGACGCAAGAAGAAGGAGCCCAGTCTAAACGCTGATGTTGTTGGCAATGGTTGTAGTGACAAGAAGGGAGCAGCTCATGGCCATGCAGGCATCGGCACTGAAGCCGACAAACGCGAGGCGCAACGGACCAATTTCCAACAGCAGGACGTTCTCGTGCCGTGGAAGTTTGCCGAGCCGGGCAAGAAGAAACCAAAGTCTGGTGATGCCAAGGAGAAGAGTCGAACATCGTCTTGCTCGTCTGCAGGCAACGGCTCGGACGTAGCCGCCTCGTCAAACAGCTCTGCTCCTGGTGAGACGTCTGTGATCACCTCTGATAGTGCTTCGACTGCTGACGGTTCCGTAACAGCTGATGCTGCCGAAGCTGGTGGTAGTGCTGCGGCGGCAGGGCAGTCCGGCGAGGTCTACCAGCGCTTCTACCACGTGTTTGTGCGCAGTGAGCTGCGGGAGCTGTGCGACGAGCTGTTGACTGTGGCCACGCTGGCCGATTACTACCACGACAAGGGAAACTGGTGTGCTGTGCTGGAGAAGAGATGAGTTCTAGTCTCATGCTGTACAAGTAGATGAATACTGAGACCCAGTAGGGCAGTACATCGTGTGTGTGATTGCTGCACACAGAATGGCTTGGGGATCAATGGAGCTGCCGCTCAGATTTGTCTAGGAAATGCCCCGGGATTTCACCACGGAAAGCTCATGCCTGGGCAAGCAGCCATGCCACCACCGCAGATCGATTGAAGTGACTATACCGACCATGGGACAAAGAGTTGCCCTGGGTTGCTTGGCTCTCACTCGGGATCCCAGCCACGTGGTTAGAACTTGCAGTGACTACGTGTAGTGTCAGCAATACCACCGGTGGGTATGACCGGCCTAGCTGCACAGCACTGCATAGCGTATACTAGCTGCCTGCACTCGGTATACTGTGCAGTGCCAGGCATGTGTGTTGCTTACGCCAGTGTCTCTGCTAGTGCTAGTGCTACACCTGTATGCATGCGCCCAGCATGTGCATCCGTGTATGCGTGTACCCATGCATGTCGATCCGTGCGCCTATCGGGTGTCGGCGCCTGACGGTACAGCATGCCCTATACAGCATGCCTATACAGCATGTCCTATACAGCATGACTGGATCCAGACATGGAGAATGTTGGCTAAGGTCCCAGTCCAACCGAGTCCGTATAATAGTACTGTGCCAAACGTGCCATGCAGATAGTGAGCCAGCGCATCAGTGGATCAGTGGATCAGTGGATCAGTGGATCAGTGGATGGCTCGAGTCACAATACCCAACCGCCAAGGGACTAGTAATGTGCGACTATGCACTCGTCATGATTTCCTCACCTTCTACTGCTTCAGACGTGTCGACGAGATCTGCTGCACATCCGCATTTCCGCAGCCGAATAAAGCTGTGGCAAGTGAAATCCAGCCGCGGGAATACAACCAGTCCAGTGACTGCACAACCCAAGCACTGTGAACAGTGGACTGTGCTGTGTACCACGGTTCGGCTCTACCCATGGGGTTGGATTTCATTTGCCACCACCTCCATACTAGCCAGCATCTGTTCTAAACTGTTGGGCGTGGTATGTAGGAACGTAGCTACCTGCAGATTCTTCACTGCTAAGATACCACTCTGGTATTTGCGGCTTGCACACTGCTGCTCTCTGGTGTGCAGTGATGCATTGTGCAAGGATTGCGCAATCAGTGTTGTACGTGTTGGTCTAGGCCAGGATGCTGCACGGGCATGATCGTGTTGGTCAAGGTCAGGATGCTGCACGGGCATGATAGTGTGTGGGTCTTCACTCCTCTACTAATATTACTATGAGAGTTCACCCACCTCACGACAAGCGTATACAAAATTAAAAAATGATATGCCTGATCCTCATGTCGCTGTACCTGCATGTGTGGCTGGTCACCACTTGACCATGACAGTAAACCTCCTCATCACGACCTCAATCGTATAAAAAATGATATGCGCCTGCTCCTGTGTCGGCGGTGTAGCCAACTCCCACAAGAAGCTGGAGCTCCACAGCTGCAGGCAGATGCCCTGTTGAATATACCATTGTTCTGGTGTGTTCAACATTGTATGCCGTTTCCCACCCCATTTATTTATGGCTTTCCAGCAGGTCACAAAATCACACAAGGGGGGGGGGGGGTGTAAATTTTGTCTGGAGGTAGCTTGGTATCATCGCACACATATCACACCACACTCTTGTGTGAGAATTTCATCTTTCATTCTTGTAGATCCCTGGTATATTGCCACACGTGTGTGACAGCTAAAATCTTGAAAAACAGAAGAAAGAGAAATTACACATTGCGTGAATAGGCAGAAAGATATCAGCGCACAAATCGCGTGTGGAGTTCTCAAGGTCGCGCGCGCTAGACGACATGACGAAGAAAGACTGATGAAACGGAGATAAAAAAAGTCATTGATTACTCAAAGCCGGTGGTAAAATGACACAATAATCACGTCTCGCTGTGTTCTCACCCTCCTGCATCTAGTGTGGAGAAAACTCTGATTGAGCCGCAAGCTAGAAAAAGAGAAAGTTTCTACACTAATTACTTTAGCACTCAAGTCGCGGCAATGGAGCAACCCCTTGGATTGCCAGTTGATACCTCTAAACTAGTGAAAGTTATCACAGGATCTATCCTAGCAGTAAAGATACGGTGATATGCTTCAGGTACTTGTATAGGATTTTGTTGACCGACGAATCAACCCGTAGGCCATTTGTCTTGTCAGGGTTAAACTTGTATACGTTGAGCACTTGCATAATTTCGGCAAAGCATTATGCATCTAGGTAGGTCTCTCTCTCTCTCCGAGCACTATGAGGAGCCATCCTCAAGGTGCATATTGGCGTAGATAGAGCTGCTGAGGGGAAGTTACTGTGCCAGTGAGAGCCCTATGAGGAGCCATCCACGAGGTGTACATTGGCGTAGATAGGGCTGTTGCGGGGAAGTCCCTGCACCAGTGAGATGTGCTCTGCGCCGCGGATGGGCAGGTTGTGCTTGAGGTAGTAGGTGATCATCTCCGGAATGCTGCGGAACGGCATGCTGTGAAGGCCCAGCACGAAGCGGTTGTCCTTGGAGCGGCGGTGGATCTTCAAGTGCATCGTCTCGTGGTGATTCCTGCACAGCAACGCATGCGCACAATAATACATACATGAACACACACAGGCACATGCAAAACGCACAGCAAAAGTCCACCCACACAACAAGAAGGAATTGAGCACGAGTGAAACAATGCATTCGAAAATTGATACGTCGATGCTTGACACTTAAAACTGCCATCCCATTCACAGAGCAGACAAATAGAAAAGATACATACATTCCTGCCAAGGTAGATGTCTCCAGAGTTACAAAAAATCTCTTATTATTCACGTCACAAGCAAAAGATCCCAGTTGCAACACTCCATTCGCCACTTCCAAACGAGCACAAATGAGTATAGAGTATGTATATCCATACTCTATACTCATTTGTGCTCGTTTGGATTTGCGAATTCAAATAAAGTCTACCAAGTACAAACAAACAAAAAACAAAAAAGACGTACCTCAGTGAGAGGGAGAAGTCTGTTAGACAGCTCTCGCTTTGCCGAATGATGAAGTAGCCTGCAGCAGCGCCAGCCAGCCGCCGCTCTGCATCATCTCTGCGCAGTGCTCCGTGATACCATCTACGCATTGCAGCATGGAAAAAAAGAAGCACACCAAACTATGCTTATCAGTACAGGCACACCGGGGAGATGAACAATGTTCTTGGCTGCATGGCGGGGCAGGTCAAGAGAACAACACAGCAAAACGTCCCGGCTATGCAGCCTAAGAGGCCACTCCGCTGCTATTACACATCTGCACTGGACTACAGGCAACTCACAAATAAAAAATACAGTGCACATGTGGCAGTTCTGATCAAACACCAAACACCAAACACAGTATCTTTTACAAGAAGTTGCATCAGAAGGGGAGAGAGGGAGTAGTATTCTGGAAGGAGATGCTCTGGACAAGGAGCGAGAACGCACCATAACCTGCAGCAGAGGACAGCAAACGTTGCACTTACGGTTGATCATCGAGCGGCAGCTTTTCTGGAGGCACTTCTCCATCGTTGCGTATTGATCTGGATGAGTTCGATCTGGAGATATTCGTGGAGCCGGGTAAGGAGTTCTCCTGCAGAGCACACAGAGAACACAAGAGAGACGATCACATCAGCCACTAACGCACACTATGTCTGGGTTAACGCACTGGTTGCAAGCGGGATACTGCCACTCTTCTATGTACAGTGAAGCCTGCATAAGCTGACCGCTCAGGAGGTGTTGTGTATCGGTTCTATTGGAAAGAAAGACTTTTCATGGCTCATTTTTGTTGTGGTCCTTTCGTTTATTTTGGTTTGTTTTGCGTTCTGCTTTTGACTCTGTTGGACTGGTTTTGGTTGTATGTATAGTTTCTACATGAACCAAGTAACGGTTACGTCATTGTCATGCGTTATGTTTTGTTTGCGCGCATGCTCATATGCTAAGGAAGCCTTTAAAATAATAATATGCTCGCCATGCACATGGGTCTCATTTTCCAGGGTCATTGCACTGGAAATGATATCCCTTGGTCCTAGTTTTAGTGGTGCTCTTGAACACGGAGGTGGTCACCTTGGCAGCTTTTAGTGTACTTGCGGCAGCCAAAACAATACCGAGAGCGCAAGACCTGACCAGCAGCATATGCAATATCAATTGCCGAGACGGAGAAGGCAGGCGCGCGTTCACCCACACTGACAGGCACAAAACCAGGTCGCAATGAGTTCTGGAAACATTTCTTTGCAAACCAATCTCTCAAGTGCTGTTAACCCAGAAACCTATATGGTCCGGATTTTTTCCGGGGTTTCGCGACAGGTGTGAAATCGCAGAAGTAATCCGGGCCAGCACGAAACATAGAACTGAAGTAAAGAGACTGAGGAATTGTGCACCAATCGCAAACATCTCCAGGTGCAGGTTTGTCTGTGCTCGCAAATCACAAACAAAAAAGTTGAAAAAACCGGTGCGAACGTTTCCCGGTTTGCAGTAGGTACTTACTGGACTCCTCTCACCCGGGGCTCGTTCGGACGACGGAGATCGGGGATGCACTGGCGACCTGCCACCGCTGCTGTTCTGCGATGCTCGGGCGTGTCTCAGAACCGAGTCGAGCGGCTCGCAGTAGTCTGAGCTCGGTTCACGCATCGGACTCATACCACCATGTCGCTGACCTCCTCTAGAAGATACCGGCTCATCGTCATTCCGTGTCTGCGGGGAACGCAACACAAAATTATAAAGATATACAAGACATGTTTGTACTAGCAGTACATCAATAGTTCAGAGAGGAGTGAGTAAAATAACAAAAAGGTGCATATTTTCAATTTGGGCGATCCTGGTGGTACACTTGTATTCGCTCTTTTCCGTACAATACAATGGATGGCGCGAGTTATGGCGGGTAAACTCAGCTACTTAAATATCTAAAAAAAATTAGCGCCCAACGTGGGGCTCGAACCCACGACCCTGAGATTAAGAGTCTCATGCTCTACCGACTGAGCTAGCCGGGCTGCTACAACGTAGATACTCTGGAAGAGACAGTCATGTAAAATCACTGCATGCCACCAACCTGGGAGGCACTATAGTAGTCCAGTGTTTGCCAAGGACACAAAAATCCACTTCCAGAGCCACCCATTTTCATCCTTTTCATGCTACTTCCAGGCAGATTGCCAGAAAGGCCACAAGGGGGGGGGGGCATGAGGTTGCGCAATTACATCACCATGCTCCAGAGAAGCTTTGTACGCAGCGCAAAGCTGTCGCGACCTGGGGTGCTAGTGCTGGCGTGCCACTCGAACTAACGCGGTTTGTATGGCTTGTCACTCAATACAACTCGACACTCCAGTCTCCATACAAACTAGTGCTCTTTGCTGCTGAGACTCAATACAACTCGACACTCCAGTCTCCATACAAACTAGTGCTGTTTGCTGCTGCCACTCAATACCTAACTGTGGTGATATATAGCACCTTTCCCTGCATGGGACTTGGCACTGAGGTTGCTACTGTCCGCACCTGCTTCTATGCACTGTTGTATGCTGCGCTGCTGCACCTCTCGCGCCTTGCGCATAACGCTATCACATTCGCACGTCACCGTTCAAGCCGCCTTTGCAGCCAGCTTCCCTTTTTAAAGCCATTGTGTGTCGCTGATCTAATTGTTCTCATCTTTCAAAGAGTTGATCTGCCTTGGACAGGACACAACACTAACTAGTATTGGTTTCCACTCCATTCTCCCCAGTCTCCATGCAAAGCATTATGCACTCCGTACAAAACATATGCAATGACCGTATTTGCACAACTCAAGTTCCACCCTCAAGACTTTCTTTTTGACCAAGTTCCACCCACAGCAAAAGCAATCACTACACATTATTTTGTTAAATCGGACGGCACGACAAACTCACAGAATCGATTAGCACTTCGGGCACGCTGATCGTTCTAGGGGGTCCTGTGCGCAGTTCTCCGATCGAACCTGTCGAGAGTCGCGACGTGGTAGATGCGGTACTGGAGTGCTTACGTGGCGGAATAGCAGCAGCCGTTGCTGGGGGATAAACTCCTCCATTAGTACGTATCGCATCAAATGGTTCACAGTAGTTCCCGTCGCTTGATAAGGATGGAGGTAGTTTGCCGTTGTCCACAAGTCTCACCTATTCCAGAACAGAAGTACAAAACCGCACAAACGCATGTTACATCAACTGGCTTGGAACTGTGCCACGGTGTGTGTGTGTGTGTGTGTGTGTGTGTGTGTGTGTGTGTGCGTATGTGCATGTGTTTGCATGTGTGTATGTGTGTGTGCGTGTGTGTGGTACATGGTGTGCGCGTGTATGTGTGTGTATGTGTGTAATATTTCCATACGACTGATATGACTTGTCAGTTTGAGCACTCTGGCAAGGTACATTCGGGCCTGGTTTCAATCTGGTTTCGGAAAATTTATTTTTCATTGCTATCAGGTTCGGCCTCATTTTCTCTGTGCTGCACTGATGAGCCCACAAAGAACGAACCAGTTCTGTCCGCAGATTGAGTATTGTGTAATATTTCCATGTACATGTATCGCCCATAAACCTTCGTCTAGTTATCAAGTGCTGGTATAAGAATGCATGCGGGGAGATGGCAAGGACTAGTCTCTATGCATTTGCACTCCCCGACTACGACAGGTTCAATCACCATGCAATACATGTATCACCCGCCTGCAAACAAAGGTCTGATGTTCACACTTGTCTGCTTGACACACCTAGATAAACCAACAGCAGTGCAGCAGCAGCAGCAGTATATAATTATACTTCTTCTCTTCCTGTTCCTCTAGCAGAAACCAGGACAACAAGCTACACATGTTCTATGCTAGTCCAAGAAACAACCTGCATACCTTGGACGTTTTTTTCTGCGGCAGAGGACTGGAGCGCGGCCGAGGTTTCTGATCAAACGGATCCATGTAGTTATTACCATCATCAGACTGTGTCGGAGGCAGTGGACTGGAACGTGCATCGATCGGCGAATCGTACACGTCGTTATCCGCCGCCGGTGGGGACGAGCGGCGGGAATTTCTCCCGCCGCTGCTCAAATACGCGCCATTATGCTTGGTGTCGAACGGGTCCTCGTACGTGTCGGATGCGGCAGCCGGCACGGGCTTCGGGGCGGACAGGCCATTGCGCTTGCTGTCGAACGGGTCCTCGTACGTGTCGGACGGTTCGTGTCGCCGATGACCGGCGCCGTTCCCGCCGGCGGACGGGGATCCAGACGTGGCTGCCTGCGCACCCAGCAGGGCACCCCGTAGTTTAGCATCGAACGGGTCGACGTAGTCGTCGTTCGGAGCCGCTGCATCAGCAAACCAACAACACAGGTGCACACAAGCTATTAAACCGAGGGCACAAGAGCTGTAGCACACACAACATACTCTATGCAGTGACTAACAAGGGTAGGTAGGTCTAGTACTCAATCTTTCATGTTGGGCAAAACGAGACCTTCTTCGGGGCCAGCATCATTACAGTACTTGGCTGAAATCACGTCAAGCGTGACTCGAAGTCTCATTGCTTGTCTGGAATCATGTCAAACTCGCCGCTGAAGGACTCTCCCCGAATAACAAACACCAAAACAAAGGTGCTGCGTGTGGGCTGTCATACAGGCAGCACCCACAAGCTGTCACGGGACATTGGCTACAATCACTACAGAGGACCTGAGCAACAGAGTGATTCATTGTTGAATGTTGATGTCTACGTGCACACATCACGTATATCCACTGGCGTTCAAACTCCCACTCTCCCACAGGGTCACAGAGCACTCATGATTAAATCATCTGACGCGTTGGCGACAACATATTAGTTACTATCACTGGTTCATTGCCAATAGCCATACCGTTTTATTTATTAAGAGAGGAGTGTGTTTGGGAACACAGCCAATGCTCCATTCCTTTTTTCTACTGCCCAAAGTGACTTGTCACCATTACGTTGTGTACTTCGAAGTAGGACAGTACTAGCCAGAATGTCAACCCAACAGAGTACACCCTGGTCACGCAGCAACGCAGGGGAAATCTTACTAATGTTACAATAATACAACAAAAGGGACACACGCACGCATGTTGTTTTCTCAACATCCGAGTTAAACATGCTGTGATATGTTTTTCTTCAAACAAACCAATGCTAGCAAACTCAACCGGCGGTTAATCAATCGTACCAGCACTGGCTATTTCTTTTAATGAGTGCAGACGGATAACGGGTCATCTGCGAACGAACGCACAGCCTTTCCTTCAGCGACAACCTGTGCCTTCCGGCTTCCGTAACGGCCCAGGTTCAATACCCACCGGCCGTGATCCACACATAATGCAACGCCAACCCCACACGGCTGACTCACGGCATAGCAGCAACTACATCACATTGCGCAAACTGACCTGCATACTTACGGCAAAAGTCTGAAGCCGCCTCTTGTGAAATGTTTCAATTAGGAGGCGGGGGAGGAGCAGAGAATCAGCCCACATTGCTGCTAGCCCACAGCAGGACATACTTTACAACGGTGATTGGATCACATTTTGACTATGATACAATCGCAACACTGCATCGCGGTTAGCAACGACGCAATTAATTGCTGTCTATGCTAAACTCAAATCAAGATTCACTTTCTCATTCCGCGCACAACATAACTAGTCCACTGCAGAACATCAGCACACGGCATGAATCAGTGCCGTGTTGCCTGCTATTTACGCTATCATCAGATTTTGTTTCACCGTGATGATGACAAAAGTGCGGTCCATTGCGGTCTTCGCGTTTAAAGTTTCGTCCGACCAAGCAGCACCAGCCACAAAGTTGTCAGAAAACAGCGCAACAAAGAACAGTTTGCTTCCCGACAACACAAAATAGTTATACGCAGGTGACACTGAGGAACTGCGTAGAAGCAGGTCTGAGGTCAGCACTGAATGCTGAGGAGCTGCCACCCAATTGAAGCACACACGTAGCAAGCAACAGGTTAAGTGCCGCTAACACAAATCCCGTGTATGGTGACAACGCACACTTATAAGTCAGTCTCACTGATCTGTTGGGCGGCGCAGACATCAATCACTATTGTTGCATAAGATCTGAGAAGAGCTGGACTATTTTCTCTATTGGTATTGTACTGCGCCATGCAGAGTAGTTCATGTACAGCATGCAAGAACACACAATAGTTATGTCTATCATTGAGTTGTTGCAATGTTTGCCTTGCGGTTGCACTAATACCACAGAACAAATACTTGTTGGATGCGCGCAGACACCCTTTTGCCTGCACATATCCCCTCCTAAACCCTTGCAGAGAACTACTTGTATTCGGATAATTGATCGACTGTTATGCCGAACTGATCCAGCCACCCCATGGCAAGCAGAATCATTGAAAGGTCGGAATTTAATTTTCTTCTTCTTGTCGCTGTGAACACAACCATTTTCGTGACTGGCAACATTCTTCACCGGTCGTGCATTCAATCAAAGTATTACGATGGACTCCTCAGAGCACCACTGTCGATTGAATATCAACACAGTCATGTAGATCTACATGGTGCTGAACATCGACTACTAGTCATGGTACTAGTACTAGAACTATTTTTCCATAGACCTGGATGATCAAGTTGCGCAAAAATTGCAGTGCGCTAAATGGATTTTCTCTCCTGTCACTTCCAGCAATACACGTCTTGGTGCTACGCTCGCTTCACGAGTCTCGTGGTTCGATAGCTTATCTCCGAGTTGTTTCATGAACGACTTACGTTGTCAACACCTTTCTGCTCTTCCCTGGAACAATCAACATCCCACACACACTGCTAAGGTTAGATTTCTAGGTTCCATCGAACGTGGTCAGCGACTTGACGCTCCAAACGCCAAAGAATCACAGAACAATCATAAATTCATAATAATGATTACCATGCTTCCCAGCTTTGCTAGACCCGCCATCGCGTCACGCCGGCCGAGTCTAACCAGATCATAAGAAATTCTGTTGAGTGTTGGCTGACAGTGTGGAACAGCCATAGCCATAGGAACACAAAAACGAACTAAGCTGCACGATATCGCGATATACAATCATGACTTGTACAGAATTACGGGGATTACTAGAACACGGCAACCGTCGTGCCACACGCTGTGATTACACGGAAAGAGCCTTCAAAATAAATCTCCCGACCGGCATTTGTCATGCAATGGACCCTATTATTGTCTCCATTTCTCTCTCGTTCTCTCATTGTGCTCATAATCACCTACTGACACCCATCCAGGTAGCCAGCAAAGCAGACCATGTGCTCGTCACGACCGTCCTTCCTTCCGCCTGTTTCTCTCTCAGGAAGAATATCTTCCTCTTTCGCTCGCCCCACAGTACTATTATAATAACAGCACATCCGCGTGTCCCACTCGAAATGGAGTATACACCGCATCTAATCCACCATAGAAATGGACTAGTGCGAGACGAACTACATGAACTCGACTCAGGCTGCACACACTCCTCAGAGGAGAGTTTGTACACGACAGGAACACACTCCTGGCACGCAAACCCTTTCGTCTGTAACAGAGTGGAACACAAAAATGAGCGTGTCCTATACTACTAGAGTAGTTGCACTTACAAACCAAAGTATAGAAGATAAAGACTCGCACGGGACTTTGTTCTGCGGGAAGATGTAATCACAGATTCACATGTGCCATAAGTAATAGTTACGGCGGGTACCTTATCACTACAAGTACTGATGGTTACAAAGAAAAGCGGTCAAGAACAATACAACGCACGAGAGTTACAGCAACAATACTACACACGAGCACAATCGCACCCCCGGAACGAGGCCACAACAATCTTACCTCCGCGCACGACAACGATGGAGGGCTCCGTTGGAGCCGATGCCGGGAGGGTTCTGATTTCCTTGGCCTTCTTTTTGAACGCCACAGTTACGGAGGAGCCCCCAGGTGCTACGGAGTTGTCCCGCACGTCCGAGCGACTGTTGCCACCTGAAATGGAGCCCATGGACGGCGAAGTGGGAAATTTGGAGGTGGATGGACTCGAACCACCAGGGAGCGTTCGCGAACGGCTCATGTTGGGGCTGTCCAGGCTCGACTCACCACTACAGCCGCCACTAAGCGCGCTTACTTCCAGTGAACCATGCGAGGTGGTCGTCGCCTTGTTGCGTGGCGAGCCTCCACGACGAACAGGAACTGGACTGCGCCCAGGGCTGGAGCGGTGCGGTATTCGTTCCATGTTGTTGCTGACGCTACGGGCCAACTGCTGCTGTTTCTTCTCCTGCGTCTGCAGCATATAGTTTGGGTCCAGTGGCTCGTCGAAATGCTCGTCGCTGTCTCCCTCGTCGGCCGCAGTCACACTGCCACCACCAGAAGGACTGGTCCGCGTCTCCTTGCCATGCGGCAATGGAGAGCTACCACCAGCCTTGCTGTTCAGCAGACCAGACTTCAGTTTGGCTAACATTGCTCCACGCATTTGTACAGAGGCCACTCGACCACAGCACACACCACTTCCACCACTGCACCGTGTATCGTCGGCACCGATTGGAAGAGAGCGGCCTTCCGCGAGCAGAACTAACAGCGCAAAACGAAACACTGTATTGTGAACAATCGCTGCTCAGTGAAGCTTGATTCGGGAGTGTCACACCTTTATCTGCGCGTCGGGGTGAGCAGAAACGGTTCAGAAGTGCTAGCCTATAGCTGCTCTCAGAAAGTTTGCACCGTATATAAACGCTCCTCATCTATCGCTGGCTGGATGCCTGCTGATTCGTAGCGAACACATTCAACGTTGACAAGAGGTCCTTTGGCTTTCACCCTTTTCTCTGTGAAGTAAGTTTCAACCCGTGTCGATCTCCCCTTTTTGGCTTTGTTGGATTCACGCGCAGTAGTCGCTGCACTGGCCTGGTACACGCCTGGCAGGCCACGCTAAAAAAATCCCTTTCAAAACTCGCACTAGGAAATGATGATGCATGAGCCTCGTTTCAGAGTTGCATGACCATGATGACCGCTAGCTAGCTATAGCGGCTAGCGCGCACTGCACCCGGTAGATCTACTCGCTGCCGTGTTGAGAAATGTAGCACCTCCAGGCCATGGCCAGGTCGACTCCAAAAATTAAATGCGGTGTTTCATACTGACTGTCTTACTGATTTTCGTAGGTGCAGCCGGTGCTAGTTTGACCATGCACACGAGTCTGTCACTGGCTATGCTGCCTGCCATTTCTGGCAGCCGGGGCTCGGCCTCTTTCTCGGTCAAAGACTTGTACAATCATGTAGTACGTAGTGCTAGATTCACGCCTGACGACGTAGTTGGACGGGTGAGAACCCTTCTCGGCCGCACATGCATGCCCCCGGCGCTGGCCTGCTTTGGCAGTGTTCTTGGTGTTCTGCTAAGTAGACCTACATTTTACTAGTACTGACTACTGAGTACTGTAGTGTAATGCTTATTATTATTTTAAGACATAGTTATGACACCAAGATGTACATGCACAGACTCAGTATGATCTGACTCTGACTGAGGGCCACAGTAGGCATGCATAGTAGATCTACTTGGTAGGGGCCCTCACTACACTCACTCGTGACTCAGACTCCGTATCGTACTTCGTAGTAGAACCATGCACGCATCAACCAGGTCGCATTGTGTGTGTACATGGTGTACGTGTGGAGAAAGGCTGGTTTAAAAAAAAAAACTGCTGGTTTAAAAAAAAAAAAAAAAAAAAAAAAAAAGAAAGGCTGGTTTTGACGTCCGCCGGCTGTCAAGTGTCATGATTTGCAGCATGAAGAGAGTTTTGTGGACGAAAAGCTTTTCGGATCAATACTACTACTACTAGTGTAGTGTGAGTAGTAGTGGTATTGATGCATACCAGCACTATACCAACATACAATGAATGTATAATGTAAGCAGGGCAGACAATAAAATAAAACGATCATTGATCGCATGAATTGTCGCGTGGAATGATCTACATGTACACGTACATGTACATAATGTCATTGTACGTGGAACTACTACTACTGTACTACTACTAGGCACTAAAATACTACGACATGTACATTATAATAACTCTTGTTCAAGATCTCTATCTTCTCGCTACCGGGGTCAAGAGTACGACCCGTGCAGCTTGCATCTCCCTTTCATCCCATTTGCAGTTCTGCTATGGATTGGCATGACTAGCCATGAGTTTGGTGACCTTTCCTCGGACCAGGATGTACTTATTGTAGGCAAGGATGATTATCTGCTGTGCACGCTACGTAGAAAGAGAATCCTTTCCGCAATCCAAGTGCATGCATAATCAATTAATCATGGTTTCCTGCTCGCGGGGATTGTGCTTGCGTCTGGTCCAGTTTATCCATGCAAAGAGGTAGTCGCCCAACACACTGCATGTAATGCAGGAAAGCAGAAGTCCACTGACTCCACTCAATCCACGTACTGGTGACGTAGTGCACAAACACGCACATGTACATGTACTGCGCAAACATTAATGACCACGATGACACCCCTAATAGATGATATGCCAAATAAGCCGAAAAGCCGAAAAGTTTAGGGGTCGCACTTGGTATCATGATCAGCTCTCGACATCGCGGCCATCTTGCTTTTGACTGCATGCGCGACGCGTGCTCTTTTGGATCACGTGTGTGGTTCTCAATGCATTGTTTGCATACAAAAACTGTACAAGCGCTACAAAGCTGTAGCTACCTATGATTTCTGTGAACAGAGTTTCTTCTTCACTGATACCGTTCTTGTTTTGACACGGCGATGTTCTCTTTCCCCGTTCTCCTTTCAAAATAGACTTCCATTTAGTTGTAAGTCACAACAGCAAACTTACTGGTAAGTGGAAGTCTAAGGCTTGCGCGCAAGTATTCCCGCTTTGAATTCGCGTGTCAATACTCAGAACAACGACCGTGGGAATCATGCGAGTGGAGTATTTCTCAGGAGGAAGACGTTCTGTTTGCAAAGTTGCTTCGATCCGCAAGGAGTATTCCAGCAACGAGTACACCTGCTACGGAAAGCGATCCTATCGGGACTTACTGACGGTATGGTTTCCTTGTTTTATGTCACTCGTATCGGTACTTTTCGTACTGCACGGACTGCACTTGTATGATACCTGTGACACAAACATCACAATCGCACGGTGTCGGCTTGAGTTCGTCTTGGAGTCTTCATGGTCCAGCAACGCGGCATCGCCGAGTTGGAGAAAGAAAGCAATGAATGTACATGAACATTGTTCCAAAACAAAGACACAGGGCAAAGCGTTGCAGCAGGCAGATCATTCTGATCCCGTCCGCGCATCAAATAAACAACTCGAAGGCAGTCCAAGTACATGTACTTTCCGACACTGCGCGATCCCGCGAGCGGCTCGCGCCCGGCGGTCAGTGCAGTCTTCAAAATGTTCCTTGGCAGCCATCTCTTCTCCGATTTCGATGATCGAGGGCTCATTTTCTTTATTAGAATCTCCTCCGTAAATCTACCGAATCAATTTTTTCCTCAACGACATAGATTTACTGTCAGAATACTGTAAAGCAGGGCGACAACGCTCAGAAAAGCCCTACACACGGATTTCCCTTCTACTTGACCGATTTCAAAATTTCTTTCGATAGATGTCCGCGTACTTGGCCGTCAAAGCAGCCCTGCGATTTTCGACGCCGTAGCTAGATAAACGGCTGCCAAGGAACCCTTTACAAATCGCCCAAATACTGCGATATTTTGAATTTTCCGTAACTCTGATTGGCTGCACGACCCTGACGCGCACGTGCTGCGTGCGTGATGAATCAAAAATGGCTGCGATGTCTAAGTACACAAGTGCGACCCCTGAAGTTGAGAGGGCATGCGATTGATGATCCCAGGCTTAGCTTGTCAAGTGCACGGGATGTGCAAAGTACACGGATTTTAGGCTTGTCGCGTGCTTATGTGATCAGGTGCTGCATGTGCATGAATGGAATGCATGCAGTTCCACCGTTACTAATACTAGTTTTAGCACTTCCTTCGGCTTTGAGATTACTGAAAAATTTAAGCTGTAAATCTGGATAGAAGAAACAGTTTGCTTGCTTTATAGCGGCTGGAGTGATTTTTCGCTGTCTTGTTTTCGGATACCGACCAACCACGACCATTGCTGTGTTCCAGGATGTACTGGTGACCGGCGTTACTCCCCGGCCCCAGCAAATGGTATTCGTCTTTTCCATGAATTTCCATCATCCTGAACTGTGAAGGAAATGGACTGTTGCTATTCGAAGGGAGGAAAGAGAAGGAGAGTAAAAAAAAGGTGACACTACAGTGATGTGATCTGACCATTTCTTGCCAGAAGATTACATACAAAAGGAAGAAAATCGCCAGAGCAAGATTGGTAAAACATTTTGTATCTGGAGTTTTCAATCTGGTCCATCAAGACAACAGCGGCTGATGCTAACCGGCGTCGCTCTGCCTCGTGTCGCGAGCTACTGCACAGGAGCTGCCTGAAGACATACGACTCATACCTAGTGATATCCCAGGCATACTGTCCCTACGCTGGAGGAAGCATTCGACAGTATTCAATGCAATCTGGGTGAGTGCAAGAATAAAGTAGCAAGATTGAGCGAAATGACTAACAGTCGCATGTTTGGAGTTCTAGTATCCAGATTCAAAGACAAGGCATCATATCAGTAACCTTGCACAACACACTCATTCGACGTTTCAAGCGGAGTCTCAAGATATTTGTTATGATAACATTTGGCTACCCAGCAGCCACCATTTGTCACCGCCACAAAATATTCCAGTCGCCATCCATTATAACCTTATAATAATTATTTCGCCTTCTTTTTGCCTTGTTTTATAAATGTGTGCATGGCCGCCACAGCCCCCTCTTTGCAGAGTTTCCTTTGTTTTTAGGTCAAATATTCACCCTACGCTGGCTACGGAAGCCTTGACCAGGGGATACACCCTCGCTTTAGCCCTACCTAATGCTTCTTCACGACATGGCTTCTCTTTGCAAAACATACAGGTACCTGGTCTCTGATAGCTGGAGGTTTCTTCCATCGGGGTGCTGCTAGGCAGCCTCCTTCGTCATGCCGCAGAGGCTGCGTAAAAGGCTGTTATGTTATAACAACCTTCTACGTAACCTCCTTAGCAATACGTAATGGCGTAGTATGCAGCCTCGGTTTTTCATTCAACTTTGTTTTACCCACTTACCTCGAGCACCCTGTAAAAAGGCGTATTGTCTGCAGGGATTGCCCTAGGAAAATAATAAATACAATACAAATAGAACAACTCCTATTTGTGCTGGCCCTGACTAATAGCGAAAGCACATGAGAAACTGGTTGCCTGGAGCAATGACGGAAGAAACGCTGTGATCTCACTCGGGTGAGGGATGAGGTGAAACCGCGAAGCAGTCAGGGTCTTGCTTCTCAGCCTATGCCATATGCCGCTGCCAATCTGCTGTTGGTTACGGCGCTCTATTGCTATTGCCTCTGTTAGGAGCACCTTCTCTGTGATGTGGGATAAGGAAGGCGGGAATTCCCAGTACAAAGGCAAATCAATGTTGCCAGTGTCAGTATGCCCAGGTGGTTAAGGGGTTTTCATAACTACGTTCCTTGGCCCTTGGGCCCCATTGCTGTTGTTGCTAGGTTGCATATGCCAGGTATTGACCTTTCATCTCACAATAGTTGAGGGTCAGCAGCAATGCAACAATGACTATGTGGTGGAAGGAGCATGCAATGCTGCAGTGCAAGTGCTATATGCAGACATCACTTCGAGTACATGCTTTTCTCTAGTTTAGCACTGTAGCACACACTTAGCTCTCCTTCTTCTTTTGAGATGCCCAACACTTAGCCTTGACAAAGTATCTCTGCGGTCCAGAATTATTTGGCTCTGGGAAGCAACACTCAACACTGTAAACGAATGGCGAGAAGAAGGACTCATTCCCGAATGGTTTCTGTG